ATACTCAGCTCAACAGCACCTACCAAGAACAATATCCTTATAACCCAAGGTTGCAGTAAGCTGGAATGCACAGAACAGCATGAGATACCTAAGAGGTTCCGATTAAGGCATATTAGGAACTAAATACTGATATTCTCTCCTCTGCTTACTCACACGTTTGAATGGAGTATGTGAGCTCTACATAGAAGTATGTCTATCTTGACTATCCGGATGTAATCACTTCTTAAATGTGATTCTATTAGGAACTGAAAGCCAAAGTGCTGTATGCTATTTTAGAAGCATGAGGAAGTGGATTACAAATTTTTAGTGGATGTGAGTAATGAGAATTTTGTCATACACCAAAATTTCTACAAAAGGAATATTCCACATGTTCTACAACAAAGAGTCACTAAAGTGAGTCATTTTAATGGTTATCAATATAAAAATCCTTTTGGTCTCTCACAATGAAAATTCGACTTTATGACTCATACTGCAATGTTGAGGCATGCTTCATATTAAAATGTAACTGAGTTAAAGAGTAATAACATATGGTCTGCATAAAACAATAAAAATCAAACCTCACTTGATGAACCAATTAAAACTTTTTGTTAGGTATATATTACTATACCCAGTATTTTGGGATACTTATTATCACCCGTAATAGTAATATAAACACATGCTAGATGTGTCCTGCATGCATGCCTCATATTAAACACAATTTAATGTTATAAGCATTCATAAAATTTAAATCTAATGTTCTGCATAGAGGTTATGCAGTAAAAAGTTACTGGATAATCCATTACAATTGTCAATTTAGTTTTGAAGTTTTCTCGATTTGAGTGTTACCTGGGAGTAGAGTTTGGTTGGTTGCGCACCAGAACAGGTGCCAAGGACAAACCCTTGTTTGTATCATGGTTGTAGCTGCTGGAACAGATGATGTGGATGTACAAGAAGGAAGGTTCTCTCAGCATATCAGAGAGCTGTTATCTATGAATATATTTTTTGCCTAGTAAAGAGAATTGATGCCTTTGAGCAGGGTTCTGGTGGAGAGTATTGAATATACCATGAACTGCCCTGGAGAACAAACAGGTTCATCCTAGAGAGGGTGAAACCAGGCTGCTCCATGGAGGCAAGGATTCTGAAGCTTTGTCTGACGTACTTTGGGCATGTTGTTGAGAGGGACCAGTCCTTGGAGAGGGACATCATTCTTGGAAGGGTGGGGGGACAGTGCAAGAGAAGGAAGACTCTGAATGAGATGGATTGATCTAGTGAGTGGGGTGATGAGGGTAAGTTTGTCAGAGACAATGAGGTTAGCCCAGGATAGAGCAGGTTTCAGGGTTATTCTACAAGGGTTCACTATGATTTGCAAGCAACTCAATGGCACATAACAACAATGAAAACAAATCTCATTGGACACAACTGCACATTCAGTGAATTTTCTAAGAGTCAGATCTAGTCATCCACCCCCACATCCTGTTTATTAGTTAACAGTGAGATAGTAAAAAACCCACAGGAGACTTTCAGTTACATGGGGACACTAAAGTTGAGTCTCACAGCTCGAACCACCTTGTCCAGAGGACTCTGGAGACCATGTGGGAGCTTTATCTTGAGCCAGCACATCCTCATACACTAGAGTGGGATCGTTTTAGTTTATTGCCATACTAATTCCCTTCCCTGCTGAACTTGCCTTTCCTTGTCTTGTTTAATGTCAATGGGTTTCTGCTTTGGATGCTGGTGGTGCTAAATCCCTAAGCATATGCCCAAGGCCCTGCTCTTTAGAAGTCAGAGCGGCGCCACATATTTTGAGCTGGCTTCTGTCAGGAGAACTTAAAAGCTGGGTGTTTCTTGCCATGTACTGTGGACACCATTCTGCAACTGCAAGTAGTGTTTCAGTCTCAGCACTCAGGAACCCAAGAGAAGTGAGGGTACCAGAAGAGGACCAATTGTCTCAATGATGTCCACGATGGATGGCTTTTATTTTTAAGTTGGGTTTGTTTTTTGTTTTACTTGTTGTGTGCCATCGAATTGGATCTGACTGGCACAGGAGATTGGCCCTCCTTCTCCAGCGGGGAATCTGGTGGATTCAAACCACGTGCCTTTGGGATTGCAGCGCAGCTTCTTGTCACTAGGTCATCAGAGCTCCCTTAGGTTTTGCTTTTTTATTTTAAAAATGGGAATTTGTGGGAAATTGGTCTACGATGTTGTGGAAATAGGTATTAAGACTTTCCCCTCTGCCCCACAACTCAGCTTTTCCGCTCAGGGCAGACAGACTAGGATATGCTTACTTTCAACACCGTCTAAATGGCACTTTTCATTAGAATTAGTACTATTTTGTCCTCTGTCAAAAGGAGTAACAATTCTTATCCCACAGCGCTCTTTAACTAGTAACTAACATACAGGAAGGGGCTTTGTAAACTATCAAGGAAAAAAATAAGCAGCAGAGACTTTTAGTAAAAATTAGAAGTTGGCTAAAGGAGACAGTTACAGAAACACCTATTTTCAAAATTTTGCTGAGAGCCAATCTCTGAGATGGGAAGAACATGGCGGGAGAGAAAGTGAGTGTCAGGCTTCTTAGTAAGTTAAGGGTTCCCAAATCACGCACAGAACCTCTGTCACTTCTCTTGGAGCTTAGGGCTCCATTATGACAGTAAACTCATACTTACTAATAATTCAACTCCATTTGTTACTCAGTTGGAGAATTCTTACCCTTTCTTAGTCTAATTCCAGAAAGTCATGAATAGTGACAAAGAGAAATTTCCAAACTCAAATAGGACAAAGAAATGGAAGCAAATGGTCATAATTTCCCAAAATTATGAGAGAAAAATGTTCTCTCCCTTTTCAGTTTTCTGCCAGTGTCCAAGAAACAACCTGGAAGTCGTTAAGTGTCATCTACTTGTCAAGGGCCCGGGTAAATAGGAAAATGACCAGAAGAAGGTTCTTAAGGGGCAAACACCTTTTCCATTAACAAGCCTGAAAGAACCGCCAGCTAAAACCTCAACCACCTCAGCAGTATAAGTAGACACAGCACTGCTAGAAAGAAATCTTCCAGGATGTGCAGGTATGTTCCTGCCTTTGGTGCCCAAACAGAAGAGAGTCTAACAGTAACACATGGCAAATTCTTTATTTTCATATGAACTTTAAAACATAGAACACAAAAAGAGATTCCACACTTTTCTTTTTCCACAGCAGCTGCAAGGATATGATGAACTCTGAGCTTCAAATTCTGAAGCGGAAAATGAGTTTAGGGAATGTGGTGGGGTAGACACCGAGAACTGCTGGAGGACAAAGGATGGGGAGAGTAGTAGTAGTAGGCACATCAATCTGACTCTGTGACAGCCAAATTTACTGTAGGAATTCAAGGGCTGTAAAGATGTGAAACCTACCAAACCTCACATGATTCCTACACTAAGAATAATCATAGTTCAGTGTCCTTCAAAGCAAGCTACTCTAGCCTCACCCTTAGCAATGCCTGGGGCAATAAAGTCTAATCCTAACCCTGCACAGGTCCAAACACAAAGGCAGCCAGGACCTCACTGCCTCCAGCTTCTGTGACAATCTACTGAAACCAGATGCGTTCTGCTTTTTAATTCAGGTCCTGTCCTATCACTGAGGATCCAGGCCTGGGCCAAACACAACAGACAATCCACAAACGGTTATCTCCTTTGAGAGGTTCTTTCCCAAGCCTGAAAGCTGGGTTTTAGGAGAATGTCTTGGACTATACAACAGGAGTGATTCAAGGAGATGTGTCCAATGTAAAAGCTCCCTAAAAAGGCACAACTGGAATGTGGAACTTTGGGCAAATGTACCCTAACAACACAGCTTAGGAGCTTACAGGTTAAAGCAGTTTTATAAGAAAACTGCTAACATCTGGAGAAACAATTTTAAGAAAAACATGTAGATTAGCCTTTGTGCTCCCAAAAGTAGGGGAGTGGCCGCCCCACACCTTGAGGCATGCTCTGCAGTGGACAGTGGTTTACCTGGGTACTGGTTTACCTGGATAGGCAGTGGATCTTTGCTAACAAAAAGAAATAAATATGAACAGAGCCCTCTTTTGGGAGATAAGTACAGCCCCCAATTTTGGACAGTCTACCCCTGGTTTGAAGTAGAAGATGGTGGGTCTCTATCCCCACCATCTACAGGCCTTCAACCACTGTCATCTTCCTGAGAACAACTGTTTTACTAGGGAAATATTTAGAAAAGTTAAGAGAGAAATCCGAGGGACACAGAATGACATGTCAGTTTCACAAGGTGAAGACTGGTAATTTATAAACATGCTCAAGAGCAGGTCTTCAATCCAAGGGCTTTTTGCACAGATATTCTCTCTCAAAACAAATTCTCTGTAGCAGCTTCTCTGTCGGAAGCTGAGCTGCTCCTTCCTTTCCCATCTCTGTTCCATGAAAAACTCAAGTAAGGGTTTTGACATCAGTATTAAGAGAAGGTCCATGGTCCACCAGTCTCCACTATTACTGGGCTTCCCAACCTGCCAGCACTGCGTGTCCTGGACATAAAGGTGACGGTCACAAAGCACACCATGTGTTCTTGTGGGCCTGAGACCCAGCTGCTGAAAAGATGGTCGAGGTCAGAAACAAATCATTCCACTTAAGGCTCTACAGTGCCTTCTAATGTTCAACTGAAGAGACGTGGACATGCAGCAGGCAAGGTAAGACCACAGGCATTCCTCCATGCCAGAAGGCCCACGTGACAAGACCACTCGGTGAGTGTCATGTCCCCCAGAAAATGCTTTGGCTGTACCCCAACCTTAAGTAACTGGTGGAAGGCCACACTCTGACATCCATCAGAAAATTGGAGCAAATATACAGGTAGCCTAACTTAACAAAAATTAAGGATGGCTTAGAAACACCAAGAAATGAAGACTGGCGAGACTGCCAGTCACGCACTCTTGATGGACGCAGCAGACAAAATCTGTAGTGTCTCAGTGTCCTAGAATCATATTCATTCAAATGAACCATGATCCCACAAGTTCTAGGTTTCAGAGATCTTGCCAGCATTCAAGACCACAGTCACTCCCACCTATAGATGTGGACCATCTTCTCAGTTAAGGTGGCCAGGTAATTTTTTTGGTTCGCTTCAAATGGGCAGATGTCCAAGACAGGCTGATCGGTCTGCAGTTTCTGCAGCAAGGAGCCATTGCTGGCATTCCACAGCTAAAGGGAACAAGGAGAGGAAGTGGTCAGCAGTCAGGCAATTCTGTTGGGGGGACTGACTTCACAGACAGTACCACCCCAAGGAGCAAAACAAACGGCAACTAAACTTCACAAGGCAAAGCCAGCACCCCGGCAGATTTCAGGTACAGTCGCACATGCTGGAACTAGTGAGACAGCTGTTCACCTGTAAATGGATACAAATCAAGCTGAACACTTTCCTTCGGTGCATTTGCCAGGCACTCAGAGAGGACACCAGAGTCCATAAGAACATGTTCCTCTCCCTCCTCTAATGGAACCTACCTTCTGCTTGTTGTAAATGTTGATCATTTTGTCCTACGAATTGTGCTCCACATAATACTGCACCGTAGAAACTCTAGGCCTATGGTTGTAAACCCATTTGGGACTGAGTTAATAGAGGAGGGGTATAGAATGTGTCTTTAGTAAGTATTTTTTTTAACAATAATAAGATAGATTTATTAGAACGTTCTGTCTCAAAGGAAAGGACAGACCCTCCTTAAAGGAAATATGGAGGAGGTAGTCAATAATTTTTGAGACAGCAGATTAAACAAGGAAGAAAAGCAAATCTGTTTGTTTTTCGTTTTAGTAACACAAAGTAACTAAGACACTGGGCTTGTCTGTTTGCTTTCTGTGTGATCATTTAACTTGTTCCTCTACCCCCTGCAATCCCGGTCAGAGAAAGTGTTAGACTCTCAGAGAGGTTGTCATCCAGGAAGCTCTGGTGGCTTAGTGGTAAGGAACTGTGTTTCTAATGCAGGAGTACGAGGTTCGTATCCACAAGGTGCTCTGCAGCAGAGAGATGGGCAATCCTCTTATGAGATTTACTGCCTCTGAAAGGTCAGCTAGGGGCAGGCTCTGACTCTATGGTGCCCAACTTATAGAAACAGGTTAATGCAGGTAAAATGAAATACAATGAAATATTTAAGTTCTTCAGTCAGAGTAATCCCGTTTCAAGTTCTCATCCAGCTGGGTGCCAGGTACCATCATGTTAGTTCTGACTCACAGCAACAGCAATCCCTTGTGTACCTCCTGGTATTGCACCATCCGCAAAACTGCTGCTGTGGTCAAGCCCACTGTTACAGTCACTATGTCAGTGCATCTCGCGGAGGGTCTTCTACTTCTTGCTGACCCTCTACAGCTGATAAGGTACTATGGGGGGGAAAGTTAGCTTTTTTGGGTTTCCCTTAACAGATCTCTATTTAAAGATAATAAGCTCACCAAGGCAGAGTTTGATGATTCGTCCCCAGAGCACACCAGGAGGTTGCCATCATTCTCCGGGCTCCGGAAAATGGCACTTTTGGTCAGTAGTTTGCAAGCGCGTCCCCCCAAAAATGTCTGTACAGGATGGCATGAGCAGACTGGCTCCCCAGTATCATTCAGGGTGTAGGACAACTCCATCAGCACACTTCGGATGGTTTGGTGGTTTTTATCTAGAGGACAGAGAAATCAGTGTTGCCCGTGGAAATGATTTAAAATAAATAACCGAGCTCTTGAACTTCAGTCACTTAAAACAACCCGCAAAATCCACAGTAACTGAAAACAAGCACAGTAACCAGAATAAATTAAGAGTACAAGGAAACTCAGAAACCCTAAGCAAGGAGAAAGCAAGACTCTACAGTGAGTTTTTGTCTATGGGGAAAACAATTCTGAGCACGAGCTAATCTTTTACAGTGAAATCACTGTATCTCATCAAACATTTGGAAACTGACTGCTCCTCAGAGTTTTACGAAAAGACTTTTTTCCCCTCTTCCCCACGTGAGGACCCCAAGAACCTGTGGACCTGTGCACTGTTATCAGGTGAAAGTATGTTCTACCGAGGAACAGGAGTCTGACTGAAGTAGGAAATCACCTACACGGCATCTGTCCGCACAAGTCACAGCAATCCATTTTGGCAACAGAAAACATACAGAATGGGCAATCTAATAATTATCTTGACCAAACACCTGCTGACTATCAGAATGGTCCCCAGGAGTTCATATGCCTGCCTGCAGGGCAGGGCAAGCGCGGGAGGCTTAGTCCACGGGGACTGTGCTAAAAAAACCCACCCTCTCAATTCAAATCCACCAGGAGGGGAAAGCCAGGCATCTCCTCCCATGTGACTTCAGTCTCCCAAAAATGGCTCTGGAGTTGCTCCCAACTCAACAGCAATGAGTCTATTTATTTAGGCTACTGCAAACCTGTGTATCGTTGGCTGACCCCTAGATGAGGGCAATAAAGTCTAGCTGGGTAGCCCCATACAGCAGACGGCTGTCCATATTATTTCTCTGTCCTTGGATGACTGACAAGTCAATACCCTACTGTAAGGGAGTGCTAGTGGCTTAATGCTAAGGAGTTGTGCTACCAACTGAAAGGCAAATGGTTCAAACTCATCAAGAGAGCCAATCTCCTGTGCAATTTCTAGCTTCTGAGAGGAACTCTCTGGAGAGTCAACTATGAGTCAGTTCACAAACACCACCACTCCACTCTGAGTCTTACTCAGTTGCCTTCGCTAGTGAAGATTAAACGAGGGGCCAGCAGGAGATAGGAAACAGTGTCTCGGTGCTCACAGGAGGCTCCACCAGGACAATTCAACACTCACCAGGCCGGTACGTCACGAGACAGTGCCGAGTAGTACTCTCTGTCTGAAAGTCTGTGCAGCCACCTGGTTCCAAGGGCAGGACATGAGGCCAATGAGTGAAGCCCACCTTGAGCTCCCAGAAGGAAGCATTCTCCAAGGTTCCTGCCAGCACCCCACCATAAGGAAACAGAGCTGAGGCAGCTCTGGGTATGTAAGACAGGGACACCAACGGGCATCTGAAGGAAAAGAAAAGAAATCACCCTCTCACGTCAATGCTGGGATTGCTCCAGACCCACCAGCAGGAAGCCAAGCACCCTGCCACCTGGACAGAAGAGGTCAGAAGACTCAACAGTCTATGATAAAAACTACCAACACCTACAGAAACAAAATAGCATATATATATATATAGTAACCTGCATCTAATTTCAGGGGAGATGACAGATGCTCTAAAAATAATTACAATTAATTAAGCAATTTAGGCACAAGGTCAAAATGACAAGGAAGCTTGACTGGAGTGAAGCAACTGGTAACAAGATCAGCATACATACAAGAAAATCCAGTAAAGAAACACAGCTTACATTTACCAAAGCCTTCAAGCTGCAGTTGACAGACCTTTCATTTAAAATACAATCTGAAGCAACTACATTTTAATTCAAGAACAGGACCGTGAAACCCCTCTGGGTCTCTTTCTGTAAGCACATTATCAGGAAAGATTTTAGACTAAGAATCTTGTCAGAAACACAAGTGTATAGATGATGTTCCTGTGAGTTTCTTCTGAAGTTTCCAAAAGTTATCACTGTGCTTATTTTATTTAAGTCTTCCCTGTCAAGTTAAGCCAATCAAAGCAACCGAAAATAAAAACAAATTTTCCCCTTGCTATTTTAAAACTTACCATCTATTAAGTCTATATGTGGACCCCTCTACAGCAACAGCAGTTAAGATCTACCCAGAATTCTCCCTTGTGTTTTAGTCAATCTCCTGAAGGCGAGGGTGTAATCCTACTTATATACTTCCATAAACCTGAAGGGGGTGGAGGGACCACACGTGCACACAAAACCCGTATACAGTGCGGCACCAAGACGCCCCTAATTAGAATAATCATCACCTTTATGTTTAAGATGTTTCCTCTCTCCCCTTTTAAATAAATACTGGAGTTGGAAATGGCAAGTTATCTTAAGGTACTTCCAATTCGACTGAAGTCAGAGTCCCCACACACCTTCTGAGAACTTTCCGCCCTAGGGCAGCGTTATGAGTGATGTTAAACATATTCATGTACGGGCCTTAGTGGTGTTAGTGGCCAACCCATCTTCAGAACATCAGGTGACTTTATCAATCTCACAATTCCTTATCTCCATTATAAACAACAGTAATATGGTAACTGCCGCCTAAGTTGGTTTGGCTCTCAATTAGGAAAGTTTTTAGTATCATTTTTTTATTGGACTACACTGATCTTGCAGAACGTGCAGCCAGCCAGTGCTCTTTGGAGGCAAAGATGATAAAACTTCATCTCACATACTCTGGGACATCATGACTGAGAAGGTGGGGGGATGGCGAAGACTAGCCACCAGGTGGGGGGACAGTCACTGCAGCAAAGGGCTCACGTGTGCCAGAGATGTGAGGACAGCACAAGACAGGACAGAGTTCACATCTGTTGTTCAAAGGGTCTCTGGGAGTCACACTCAACTCGACAGCACCTAACAACAATAACATGTTGCTCTTTTAAGCCATGAGCCTCCAAAAGTCCCCAATGTTGCTTTTACTAACTACGTGTTGCAAATTAGGCTCACAAAAGGCCAAGAAACATAACCAATGTCATACAACTAGGAAGGGTTTTGATCACCGATGTAACGTCATTTTATATTGGTGAGTCAAGAACTATGAACTTTCTATACTATGAACTAGAGTTTTCCACCATGTGAAGTACCACGGACTTAAGCTGAAGGATCATAATGATTCTGAAGCCAGACTGGATCAGCTGACCTCAGAACTGGCTGGCTGTGAGTATTTCTGACCAGTCATGGAATACCATCTGCAGAGAGCACCAACAACATTAACAGGACATGAGGAAGTCACCACTGACAAGGAGAAATAAGAAACTCCCCACCTGGCTTTCTGAGGCACTAGCTCCTGGACGTGGCAGCCTGTGTTTCGCAGATCATAGACGAGAATCGAACCATTGGCCAGTCCAGCATACATGTAATTGCTCTCATCAAGACACCAGCAGCAGCTCCAGACAGGACGTCCAGCATTGTAGGTCTGAACGACAGTATTGGTCTCTAGGCTGTGGCATTAGAAGAGAGTTTTATAACTATGTATAAGAACATGAAAAATCTGATAAAAATACCCACCATCTTCAGTACAGCTACCTACTACAAAAGTTGCATTATAGCCAATGAATAAAAATTACAAATACACATAAGAAGAAAAATGAAAGCACAATCATAAAGCATTAATCAGAAACACCTTTAACATCTGAACTTTCCCAAGAAGCTGCACTGCAATCCCAGAGGTATGTGGTTCGAATCCACCAGATGCTCTGCTGGAGAAGGAGGGGCAATCTCACCCTGGACCAGTCAGATCGGATTTGATGGTACACACACACAAAAATAATAATAATAATAACAACAACAACAACACCCCCAAAAAACCTATATGAGCTTTCCTTAGGTCTCTCATTAAATAATCAGAACACACAAATGCACACAAAATGTCACACTCAAATTTTGGCCAAAATTTAGCTGAAGACTCTTGAAATGTTATGAAGCTTATTAGAACTGATAAAGCTATTTGGTATTCCCCAGATTTCGTGAGTGAACCTAGATAAGAAATTAAGTACCAGACATCTGATCAGAACTACTTTAAAGGAAAAGGTTCATTGCACAACTTTTTTTTTTCATGTGTGTACTGTCAAATCAGATCTGACTGGTACAGGAGGAGATTGTTCCTCCTTCTCCAGCAGAGCATCTGGTGGATTCGAACCCCACACCTCTGGGATTGCAGTGCAGCTTCTTGCCAGTAGGCCACCAGAGCTGCCTTCATTGCACAACTTTTACAACAGCCAAAAGTGAAAACAATGAAAATATCTACCAACAAACAGATGAACAACAAAGAAATGTGGGAGACATATACACCAAGCTTTGGAGGCCTGGTAGGAAGTTACACTGTTAAGCAAAGGCTGTATGCATTTCTCTGGTGGTTCAAATCCACCAGTGGTTCCATAATACCATTGTGAGACTTACAGTCTCAAAAACCCGATGGAGAGCCAGTCATGGGTCAGTTTCAACTCGACTTGAGAGATACAGAAACTTTTTTTTTTGAGGAAAGATAAACTGTGATAAAAGTAAACGCTTACAAATTGGGCTTTCATTCACATTTTGTTTCATAACATTAATTTTATAACACTCAAATGTAATTGTACTTTTCCTACTTTCTCCTTCTAAATCTCATTTTCATCAGTCATCTGTCTGCCTTGCCTGTCTGGCTATGTATCTGTTGTTGACAAACTGTACTTTTTGGGTATAGTCTTCCCTTCATAGGAAATAAGCAAATTAAGTAGAAAGCAAAGATTATTACCAGAGACAGGAGGAAGGGAAAGAAGTCTGGGGGGCATTAAACTTATATTTAGGGTGGTGGAATTCTTCAATAAGGACAGTGACAACAAGACAAACAAGAAAGCTGTACTCAAGGCCACTGAGCTGTGCATGTGGAAGCTGTGTTGGTGAAGTTTTGGAGTATTTTCAAACCAGTCAAGAACATATGGAGGACAAAATGCCATAACTGAGGATATGAGAGAAGTAATTCATGGCCGTCAACATGAGCAAGCGCCCAGGAAGCATTCTGTCAGGAAGCACTCTGAATACAGAGACCAGGAAAAAGCTGACAAGGCTCCACGGTGTCGGGTACCAGGCTGTCTACAAGTCATTACCGCACCACTTCTATCTAGGGAACTACCCTTATCTGTTTGAGCTCTACCTCAAAATAAACACTTGTAACCAGCTGTGGCCACTTTTAAAAGTAATAGATTTTAAACTGCTAGGCTTGGATTTCAGAAGGGAATTTTCTCAGACACAAAGAGAATCTGGACTATCAGCCTCATAGAATCCTCATAGTCTGCTGCCCAGGTCCCCTCCCCTCCAAGACACACTCACCTCGTCAGTTTAAGAGTATTGTCCAGGGAAGCAGAGAGCAGCAAGCCTCGGGATTGATCGCTGAAAGCCAATCCTCGAATCTGCTTACTATGCATCGGAACATACTGGTTGCTTTTCATGTTGGCAGTACTCAGCATCTTAACACCGAAGCCTGCAAAACAGATAGTCAATTCAGGGGAAAGCTAACTATCTTCGTGTGCCTCCGCTGCTCACCTATCTTGGAATGCAATTCCCTGGGAAACAGCTAGCTAAACAAAGGAAATAAAAGTTCCCAAAGTTATAATCCATTTAAAAAAGGCACATTCCCAACCTTCTAGAACAAGAGGTGCAAGGAAATGAGCAAAGAAAATGTGAAACAATGAATGAATTAAAAAACCCTCAGACCAAGTACATTCCCAAAAGCCATTAACAGGTGAATAAATAAATTTGCTATAAATATATAAGATGGAGTTAAGTACTCAGTAATAAAAAATAAGCTGATACACCTCTGTGATGTCAAAGTTATTTTTCTCACTGTGTACCGTCGAATCGGATCAGACTGGCACAGGAGGTGACTGCCCCTCTTTCTCCATCACAGCATCTGGTGGATTTGAACTGCCCACCTTCGGGATTGCAGTGCAGCTTCTTGCCACTAAGTCACCAGAGCTCTTCTGATGTCAAAGTTTTATGGTTCAAAATGTCTTTCCTAACCAATGAATAACTAGTTTGTGCTGAAGTATTTACTATAATAAGGAGAGAGAATAAGTGTGGGTTACAAGCCCCCCCTTACTGGAGACTTAGATAAACTCATGGGACCTCAATGATAGCTCTCTTTTTTGGGACATCTGGTTTCCATCTACAACGCTCACCAGTGTCTGCAAAACTGGCCAGCAGTGAGTCACGTGAAGTACTCTGCTGACAGGTCCCTGGGAGACCTTCCAGTGAACCAGCACACCCAAGGGACATAGAGGAGTGAGGGAACTAAGTAAATGAGGGACTGCTGATGTAAAACATCATGAAATGATACAGCAAGTTTATAAAATTATACAGCATGTGGGAAAATGCTGACTGTGCCCCTCTCATACCTGCTCTACAGTTAAGTCTTCTTGTTGATTGCCTTCGAGTCGAGCACGACTCATAGCGACCCTATGAACGAAAGGCCTGGAGCCCCTCTACAACTATTGACATGTATCAAAGTTCATAGTTTCTGGAGGCATGTTATTTAGGAAGTGGATGCCCTTCATCAAGAAATCCTATTAAATGTGTTACTTTGTTCTCTTAATAAGATATGACGACAGTTATTTTTACTTAATGTCTACTATTATCTGAATTACACAAAAAACACAATGTCAACTCCCCAATTCAAGATAACCTTGAATTATACTTCAGAAAGGTCAAAGCCTTAGAAATCCCATGGGGCAGTGCTACATCATACACGTGGGGTCCCGTAAGTTGCAATCAACTCGATGGCAAATAACAACAAGGGAAATTAATACAGGTCTCTTTCTTTTGCACAGGCCAACTGCCTCTTCGCTTGTGCAAGTGAAAGGGAAAATCAGATGGATAATCTCACTTCCTCTCCCCTACCTGGAGGCCCCTGAGTGTCTGTGCACTCACAGTTCTATCAGTGAATAGAAAAGCACATGACAGACTAGGAATTCCACTCCCAACCTCACACATATGTTTGGAGACAGTTCGGAAGCACTTGAAAGGCACGTGCAAGTGGGGAAAACATAAAATCAGGCTCAAGTAAAGGGATCTGGGAGCTGGGAGAGATCACAGGCTAAAACTAGAAGAAAACATCTGCACCGTATAGGAAGGATACAGGGAAATTGGTTTTTAAACACTAAGACAACTTAAAAGCATGCTTAAAATTCACAAAATTGAGATCACAGCCTCTACGAGTCAACAGCTTCATCTCCTTTGAGATCAGATGAACTATTAAAAGATGCTGCCTGCCACCCCTGGCAACTGTTCTGACCAATGGCACAGGAGATGAACCTTGACGGAGCCAAAGAAAATTATACGCCAGGTTCCAAATTCTGTTTTAGATGCTTCATGTTGCTGATTACAATTCCATGTGCTTCCATTACTCTTGCACTCCTCTGTTATTATATGCATGTGCCCTTCTTTCTGGGCTTTATCACTGGACAAATGCTGCCTTTTTACTCCAGTATGATAAACTGTTTAAAAGTTCATTTGTTTCCGGTGCTACTGAATACCTCTCACAGGCTGTGTGTTGTCTAGCTGAAAGCTGAACCACAGGAATAATGTCAATTCTAGGCCTGGAGGGTGACTAAGGGCAATAGTTTCAAGTCCATCAGACCAGTAAGCATGGGTGTTTTTTTGCTGTTGGTAATGATTTTAGCTTTGTTCCCCATTTTTCTACCACTGTGTCAGGGGCTCCGTGTTCCCTTTCAGAAGAGCTGGCATTGGTAGCGTGGCACCTCAGGGTCAAGTTCCCAGGGCCCACTTGTCCTTTGGACAAATAGTCTTTGATTTTTCTTTCACTCATATTTGCTCTGACTGGGAAGAGATCAATAGCTGCACCTGCTGAGGTGTTCGGAAACTTCTCTGAATCCAGTTATTACTCACAGAGCAGCACACAGAGGGGCATTTCCTCTGTAGACTCTGACATGTCAATTCACTTTATGTCCCACTGACTCGAGGTCATGTCTATTGACTTTCGGTTCTCCATCTCCCAGGCCAATAACTCACGCCTGCAAGGTGTTTAGCTATGACCAAAAAGTCTTCCTAATTTTGTACTGTTTCTTCCATTCTATGCATGGACCTCTTTAAAGCACAGACAGACAGACATATATACAAATCTTGCTGCCAAAGTGCTATGGTCATGCTTGCAGACATCCTGTCCTCTGCTTACACATTCCTGGCATCAGCCTATGCGTCCACTTGTAGATTAATGTCTGTTATTACTGATGCTAGATCCTTGTCTACAACTCTTGGACACCTCTTTTTTTTTGTTAACAAATGATCCTTTATAGAAATATTTTCATCTGTAGTTCCTTAGCTAGCTGGGCATTCCACAGCGCCACTGCTGATGTCTTCTATGATGTCATGAGGGTGACGGCCATCAACATAGCAGCCCACAGATTGGGCCGTTCCCAGGATCTCTTTAGTAGTTCCAGAGAGTTCTCTGGCTAAAGACCAGTGTCTCATATGCTGGGCAATGCCAACAATCTCATCAAAAGTGCTATTTCCACTGTGCTTAATATTTTTCTGCTTCTTTCTGTCTCTGGGTGGTTCCTTTAGGGCTTTGATGATCAGGGCAGAGGCAGAAGGCACCACTTCAATCTGGGCCTGTCTGTTCTGAATGGTCAGTTTCACTGTAATCCTTAGTCCCTTTCCAGTCACCGGTGGCCTTGGCAATGTCATCACCAACCTTTTTTGGAGACAGACCCAGCGGGCCGATCTTGGGGGCCAGAGCGGAAACGGCACCAATTTCCCCACTGGTACACCTCAGGTACACGACTTTAATCTCGTTGGGGTCAAACTTGGCCGGCATGGTGGAGGCGGCTGGTGTCGGATGAACCCGGATGCGGGACGACCGAACAAAGTTGCACCGAGGCCTCCTCCAAGCCGAAAGCTGAAAGCTGGACACCTCTTTTAATGAGTGTGCTGACCCCCTTACAGTAAATTGCTTCTCCCTTCATCCAATTTATTACATGTCTCTTACTCAGTGATTTCCCTCCATTCCCTAGATTATCCCTTGTTCCTATTAAAGAATTTTCTGTTCTCCATGTAAAAATTTTCCTTTACTTTCGTATAACAGTGACTTAAACAATGCTTGCCCTTTTGCAGAATTTCAATTCTGCTATGTAAAACATCACTGAAAACACCAATTAGTACATACATTGCCACTGAGTTCACTCCAACCCAATGAACTGGACAGGACAGGGTACAAGTGCTCCATAGGGTTTCCAAAGACAGAAATATTCAAGGAAGTAGATTATGACCTCTTTCCCATGCAAAGTAGTTGATGAGTTTGGACTGTCAACTTTTCAGTGAATTGCTGAGAGTTTAACCACTGCACTACTAGAGATTAACTAAGAAATTATTTTTAATTCTATCTCATTTCCACTCAATTTATCATACTGTATCAGCACTTCTACCCTTGTGAGCAAATTTATGGGGGGAAAAAAAACCCAAACACTTGAAGAGTGTTTGTCTTAAAAGAGGAATTGAGGAAAAGGTCATTAATTTTGTCTGGGCTGTGGTTGTTTATTACTCACTATTAAGATCTGGAGCACGGAGAAAAGAAGAAAATGCATGAAGCCCACAAGCTGGAGTTCTGGCCTGCTTACCTGGCACGAAGGAGGCCTGAGGGGACGGCTGCGACACCACCAGGCAGCTGAGGGAATCACAATACGCCATGATTCGGCAGTTCCCGGTCGGAGACACCGTGAAAGTCTTCTGGAACTGATACTTGTGTTGGCCCTGGCTGGAGGACAGGGAGCTGAGGGAATGTGCCGGGCAGCTCTTGGGGTGCTGCAAGATTTGATCTCGATGCTGAATAATAAGTTTCTGCAATTCCTGTAAGAAAAAGGTTCTCGTAAGAGACAGGGTTTTAAGGTGGTATTTTAACATAAACTCTAGAAAATTACTGTAGTTTTCAGTGACTGAATTAAGGAATGTACAAAATCACAAAATATTAGGGTTGAAAGTCCTTCATGGCCACCCTGTCTAAAACTCTAATTTTACTGAGCAAGTCTAGAATTATTATCTTTTAAATGACTTAATTAGAAGTAAAACAGAGAGCTAGCCAGCCACACTTATTTATACAACTCTTAGCAAATTCTATGTGTATCTGAGTGAACTCTAGGATGTTCAGATTCTACTTTCATTCTGGCCTCAGAAGTTCTTTAGATTAGAAATAGCTAGCGAGCTCTGGTGGCCTAGTGGCAAGAAGCCCCACTGCAATCTCAGAGGTACACGGTTCAAATCCACCAGATGCTCTGCTGGAGAAGGACGAACAATCTCCTCCTGTATCAGCCAGATCTGATTTGATGGTACACACACGGAAAATAAGGAATGGCAAACTCACCTGGACACGACCATGAAGCTTGGTGCACTCTTCAGTGAGCACCTGAAGCTGGAGCCTGCACTCTGCCGATTCTAACTCAGCCTGCTTCCTCATCAGCTGCTCCTTTAACAAGGAACTAGAGGGGGGAAGCCAGAAATCGCCACGGTTACTTCCCATCAAGATGGCACAGTCCATTCGACATATATATCCTGCTGTAAATATTTCACAACAGTGAATGGAAAAAGAAAAAAATGTAACTGGTGTTATTTATCAGCAACCTTTTGAAATCCTAATCTTAAGACTGCACATGTAAAATGTCACTGATAAATGTCTTCAGTGCAGAAAACTATTGTAGGAGAGCTTGGTGGCATGAGAAGCAAACAAGACAACTTTTCAGTCGGGAGCTAGATCCTCGAGATACAAGTCAATCTCAGATCCACTCTACTTTCTGTGTGTGGATGTTCCTGCAGAGACTCCACCCACCTTTTCAAGTACTCCTGTTCAGCAGTATCCACAGCTTTCAGAGTTCGGGTATAGAGGACAACAATGTCACTGTGCTTGGCCTTCTTGTTGCACTAGAGTTTGATGAGACACAATTAGTAAGATTCTAGGAACCCTCTGCCTCTTCATGAGTATGTCGACCAAAGAGACACAACTCCTACCCACCAGTCCTTACCTGGGGACATTTTCGGGCCTGTCCTTTGAGCCACTTAGAAATGCATTTATACCCAAAGAGGTGCCCACAGCGTAATGCTGAGAGCCGGTGGTCCCCAGCATTGGTCCACTGCTCCAAACATATCGTACAAGTCTCTCCATCTTCGTCATCCACAGACTCAGAAGGTGGTGGAGGGTTTGCTTTTTGGGGAGACTACAAGATGGAAATCAGAATAAACTTGAATTACAGAACATGCAAAATCAGTCTTGAGGCGGTTCCACAACCCTATCAAATTCACGAAAGCACACACAAGTGTTATTACAAGAGGGAGGCTACAGAAAACAGCAACACCAGGAATTATTAGCCATTTTTTCAATAAGGCAACCTGGCAAAATGTCATAAAAGCCATTAAATACTATTTTACATCTTAAATAATTCTTATAGTTATTTATAAAACTATATAAATAAATTAAGTCAGAAAAAGATATTCCCCTAGCCATATAACCAACAAGGATGAAATGGTAAGTTTATTATACATTGACAACTCAGAGAGCTGTATAATATTTAGGTTATGTGAATGCATCTGTGGAAAAATCAACTATGATGGAAAAGACATAAAGCACCTGTTTATTATCAAAGAGATCACAGTTTTCCTGTGCTGTCAGTAACAACACTGATGCCACTGAGTCAAGCTCCAACTCATGAGACACAACGCAAAACGGAATGAAATGTAATTAGACGGGAATAAACTGATGCCAGGTGACATCAAGCACTGGGAAAAGGGAGAGAAGCAAGCATGTTTTATAGTTGCTGCAAGTGGAAGTTGACACAAGGTGATGACATTATCTTGCGGACTAATTTAGCATTAGCTATCAAAGAGAAAATTTGAAATCCATATATATTGCACTGAGTTTTGCACAGTATATATTCCAGGAGTTGGAAGTTGACTTAAAAGCAGTCAACAATAAAGGAGGGCAGGGGAGAATCAGTCTCTCTCTTTAGTTTTTATTTATTTAGTAAATAAATGCTCAAAGAGATTTAAACTTCGCTCTGGTGGCATAGTGGATAAGGAACTGTGCTGTCAATTTAAAGGCAGGTAGTTTGAATCCACCAGTTTTGTGGGCAAACTCCTCCCGTGTTATTTACTGCCCCTCAAGACCCACTGGAGGGTCAGCTGTGAGTCAGTCGGCTTCTGACTAAACAGTAGATGGCACATAACAAAAAACCGTAACTTTACGGACTGGTAAGAGGGAAAATCCCTGTATTGTGAAGGGAAATAAGGGGTAAGATCTCTTTTTTAAAAATATACACATACAGAGACTCATAGGGTTAAAATTTTTCTCATAAAAAATTAAAACCTTGGCGAGCTCTGGTGGCCTAGTGGCAAGAAGGTGTACTGCAATCCCAGAGGTGTACAGTTCAAATCCACCAGATGCTTTGTTGGAGAAGGAAGAACAATCTCCTCCTGTACCAGTCAGATCGGATTTGACGGTGTACACACACACACACATAAAATAAAAATAAAAAAAAATTAAAACCTTGCAACAATGAATGAATATTTAAAAAAATGTAACTGGGGGAGGGAAATGGGAGAGGGGGTAAAACGTGCAAGAATGAATGAATGAAAATCTAACTTTTCTATAAACTTCTGTTAAATATCACACTCCGCAAAGCTCTTCATCAAATATGAAGGAGAAATTAGATCCTTTGCAGAAAAGGATCTTAAAGAATTTGTGAAGACCAAAAGTACAAGAAATTTTAAGTGAAGTCCTCCACAAGGAGATGCCAAAGGAAAGTAGGTAAGACCCCAGTAACCAGAAACAACAGAAAAAGAAACACGGCAAAATGGCACTGGCCCAACAATAATCACGCTTAATATGAATAGACTAAATGTGCCAATTAAGATAAATAGAGTAGCAGAATGGATTTAAAAAAAACAAATAAAGCCCACCAATATGTTGTCTACAAGAGACACATCCAAGGGGAGCTCTGGTGGCCTAGTGGCAAGGAGCTGCAACTACAAACCCAGAGGTGCACGGGTCGAATCCACCAGATGCTCTGCCGGGGAAGGAGGGACAATCTCCTCCTGTAGCAGTCAGATCTGATTTGACGGTACACACACACACAGACACATCCAAAAAGTGGAGAGAAAGAGAGACTCAAAATCAAAGGCCGGAAAAAAAATACACCAAGCAAACGACAACCACAAAAAAGCAGCATGTGTATGAGGACCCAAGGGGAGGAGGGTGGGAGCAGAGGGATGATGACGGGTGGGGGTAGGGGGGAGTTAATCATAGAGTCATACAATTTGATGAGTAGAGGGAGGGGTATGTCAAAGAAATGGGAAAGATCTGGTGTAAAAAACAATGTGTATGAACTTTGAGAACAAACCAGCATAAAATAAAAATTTTATTTAAAAAGAAAAAAAATTAAACCTGCTAATCATGTATCAAACCCACTGCTGTCAAGCCAATTCTGACTTACAGCCCTGGAGGACAGCGTAGAGCTGCCTCATCAGCTTCTGAGTCTACAAATTGTGGTAGCACTTTACCTCATCCTTTCCCTGTGAACTGACTGGTGGGTTTAAAGTGCCTGCCAATTCTTACATTAGCAGTCCAAAGCTTAACCCTCCGTCCTACTAGGGCTCCTTGGTGACCATACAGAAACGGGCAAAAAGCTTATGTGAGGGCAGAATCCACAGCAGATGAAAACAACTCCACTATTTGGGACAATGGTAGGGAGACAGGTGTTATTTTAAAAACTGTTTATTTCACATCTACTCTTTCAATAGACTTTTAACCCCTTTAGTCACAACCAATCATATCTGCTCCCTTGCAAACTTTTTTTTTTATGTATTTATGTTTTATTGATTATGCACAGGAATTCGACTTTTTGAATCATAACAAGTTATGGCTAACATTGAGAAGAATGGGAATCACAGAGCACTTATATTTGTACTCATGCAAAATATGTTATCTAGACCAGGAGGCTGTTGTGCAAACAGAGAAAGGGAACATTACATGATTTAAAATTAGGAAGGGAAGTGTGCCAGGGTTGTATTCTCTCTCCATACCTTTTCTTATTTTTTTTTTCTATAATTATATTTTATTAATTTTCATAAACATTTACAGAGATTTTGGGTTTCCATTCATTCATTGTTGCACTATTCTCTCTACCCTCCTCCCAGTTTGTTCTTGTCCATCCCTTCCAAACTTTTAAAAACAGAAGCAGTAGTAACACAGGTAACAAATAACTGGAGTAGCATCTACACCTGGACCTCCCGCCCACCATGACTGTAACTTCCCCATTTCGGCCTGCAGTCAGTATTAACTATCCTCGAGCTGCCTCTGATTGTGGTTACATCATATGAGTCAGCAGAACTGGTGCTGCACACGGTTGGTTTTCAATGACTGATTTTTTGGAAATGGGTATCAGGCCTCACTTTCAAGGAGTTTCTACGTAGACTGGAACATTTTGGTTTGCAGCTAAGCGCTAAGCCTTTTTTTTTTCCTTTTAAATTTCATTATTTTTGTTTGCGTGTACTGTCAAATCAGATCTGACTGGTACAGGAGGAGATTGTCCCTCCTTCCCCGGCAGAGCATCTGGTGGATTCGAACCGTGCACCTCTGGGATTGTAGTTGCAGCTTCTTGCCACTAGGCCACCAGAGCTCCCCAGCGCTAAGCCTTTTATATCGTCTTCTAGTCACTTCTGACTCATACTGACCTTCCATCAGGTTACAGAGGCTTTTAAATGAAAACAAGTAGAAAAATGTCCATCTTTCTGAGTCTCAAGACCTTTGGGTTAACCACTCAAATGACTAAACTGAACCACAGCCCAGTGACTCCTTTCAGTCTGCAGCCTGCTTATCAGAAAACCTAAACCTTTAATTTAAAAGTGTTTAGGTCGCAATCAATGTCTCAAAAGGTTTATGAATTATTGAATGAAAAACCAATTTCCCCCATAAACTTCCATTCAAAACACAGTAATAAGTTAAAAGAAAAAAAGCAAAAGTCACCTCAAACCTCACCAACAAAAGGAATAGGCAAGTAGACGAGGAATAGAGAGTGGAGTAGTTCAGACATGAGATTATGTTGGCTTGGGTCAGAACAGTAGCTTTGGTAATAAAGATTAGTAAAGATACATTATAGAAGTGGGGGGGGGGAGAAATAAAAGGATGTTCATATTACCTCTGTGGGGAGAATTTTTTCTCCATCAATACTAGTAACTTCCTGTTCTGCTGTAATACTTTCTTGTGGTCCTCTAACTTCTTGCTCTGCTACAGTACTTCCTGATGGCTCTGGCAAGTCACTTCCAGAAGCTACAATATGGGTAAAGAAATAAAAGACCCTTTTCAAATGCTCCACAACAAAAATGTCACTTTGAAGACGAAGGTATTATATTTTCATACTGCCTTTTATGCATGCAATAATGACAATAAAAGGTGGTTGTTGCTGTACACCATCGAGTTGGAACCAACCCACAGGTGACTCCCCAGTAGGCTTTCAGAGATTATAAATGACACAGGAGGAGACTGCCCATCTTTTTCCTGTGGAGCAGATGGTGGGTTCAAACCGGGTGCTTCTGGGTTGGCACCACAGCTCCTTACCACTAGGCCATGAGAGCTCACTTAGATAGTGAGTAAGGTAGACTACTAACAGATGACTTTGAATTATGCTGATGGCAAATACCGAACAAATGGACTGACAGAAGAGACATTCTGTAAACACAAAGGTGGCAATACTTTAAAAAATCCTCAACAATATGGATCGGCATAGTGCCTGCAAAAATGGGCTCAAAGAGTAAAAATTGTGAGGATGTCCTAATATCCGGCTGTTCACACTTGCTCAAGAGTCAGAAATTACTCAATGGCACCTAACAACAGTGGTTCTGTTCCACTCCTGAGTCCACTGCATGGTGCCTTGTAAGGAAGAGAAGGATATGCAATGTGTGGCTAAGTGCCTCCAGGAACAACTGCTTCCTCTGTCATGAGACTAAGAACTAGATGGTGCCCAGCTATCATTACTGCACATTCTCATCAAAGACTCCAGATATCTGGAGTCACGGAGGGTGATTGAAACCTTGAAACTACTGCCCTGAGAGAATTTTTACATCTTAAACCAAAAATAGCCCCAAAATCTTAAAACCATATAATTTGACTAGTAAAAAAGGTTTTCTTTGAGCATGAGGCCCTTTCAAGAACTTTCTATATAGAACTGAAGTCATTACCGAGTTCATCACTCTCACATGGAGAGGCTGGGAGATTCAAACTTGCCACTTTTGGTTAGCAGTCAAATATATAACGTATTACCAAGGGTTCTTTCACGTACCTTTACACCTCTCTTAGTTCTTATAGCAAAGAGCGCTAAAAGCACAGCAGCTAAACACTGCTAACAAAAGTGGTTCAAACCTCGCAATCTTCCCAAGGGAGATACATGTGACATTTTACCTCCATAAACATTACAGCCTTGGAAACCCTACAGGGAAGTTCTATTGTTTCCCAGAGCTGCTATGAATTGGAACTTAAAACAGTGATAGTGGGTTTTGGTTTTGTAACATCTTAGAAGTGTGTTATGGAGCACAACTGACTGTGTCCCCCAAAGAGGTATGCCGAAATCTCAATCCTCATTACCTACAAATGGGAATTTGGAATGTAAGCATTTGCAAATATAATCAGTGAGGTCATGGGTGTGGACCCTAATGGAATCTGGTACCCCTATAAAAGAGAGAAGGAAAACAGACAGACACAGACATATACACAGAATCTCATGATGATGGAAACAGGTATTAGGTAATGCATCTGTAAGTCAAGTAACACCAAGGACTGCTGGCAACACCAGAAGCTAAGAGGAAGGCACAAGCAACTCTCCTTTATGCCAATCAGAAAGGGCATGGCCTTGGTTTTGGACTTCTAACATACAGACTGTAGATGAGCTCTGGTGGCCTACAGTATTCCCAGAGGCGAGAAGTTCGAATCCATCAGATGCTCTGCTGGTGAAGGAGGGACAATCTCCTCCTGTACCGCCAGATCAGATTTGATGGTACATACACAAAAAATAATTAAAAAAAAATGCAACAATGAATGACTAGAAACCCTAAGTCTCTGTAAACTTTCATTAAAATTAATTAAAAACAACAACATATAGACTGCAAAGGAATAAATCTCTGTTGCTTTAAACCACCCAGTATGTAGTAATTACGGCAGCTCCAAGAAACTAATATGGGGGGCAGGGGATGCCACTGTACTAAACTGTGGAGCTGTGGCCCATTCATTCGAACTGTGATACTATACTTCATTTTGTGAAGATACATTTATACCATTAATGGGCATTTGGGATAATCTTTAGAATTGGATGGTTGGTGAGGATTTGGTTGTTGCGTTGTTTTTTTTTAAAGTTACAAACAGTGTTGCGATATCCTCATCCGTGTTTATGAATACACATACTCGTATGGACTGCTAAGAAAACAAACAGATTCAATCTGAAGAGGGTTAAACCAGGCTGCTCCTTGGAGGCAAGGATTCTCAGGCTCCGTCTGACATACCGTGGACATGTCCCTTGGAGAGGGACATCATGCTTGGGAGGGTGGAGGGTAGGCACAAGAGGGGAATGCCCTTTATGAGGTGGACTGATTCAGTGACTGGGGTAATCGGGATGGGTGTGTCAGAGACAGTGTGACTGGCACAGGACAGAGCAGGGTTTAGGGCTGTTGTACATAGGGTCGCTAGGAGTCGCAAGCAACTCAACGGCACGTAACAACAACAATATACTTGTTATACACCTAAAAGTTGAATCAGCTGTCAGATTAAAAGTTGCAAATTGAGTTTTAAAGGCTAACACCAAAAAATGAGTCAGATCAAATCCTTTCTTCCTAACTATGGCTCAGGAAAGCTGTATACTATTAAATAAGAATCTATGACATGGAACTAAAAAAAAGAAAGGCAAGTATCAAAGCACAAATCCTGACAGTCTAGCGTCGTGCCAAACTTGGATAAAATACCTTCCAAAGTAACAGTTTGTGGTTCCTCTTCCTGCACCACCTCCTCATCCTCGGCAGAGCTGTCAGAACTGGAACTGCTTGACTCCTCCAAGTCTTCAGAGGCCGGATTCTCACGCTGCCGGGAAGGACTAGCAGGCAAAGGAGACTGGGAAATGCTCACTTGAAAGAAAGAATTCAAAGATGTCCTTGACCTAAGGTGCAAAAAAAGACAGACTTATAGTGAATTGCACCATCATCACATGAATAAGGCAGTATGAAGGTAAACTGGTCTACCAACTAACTCTTACTTAATGCCATTTAATGGCAATATAATGCTGCTCTAAAAAGTGAAAGAGAAAACTAGATTCTCTCTTTTCTATTCAAACATTAGTTACAATTATCCCACAATCAATTATCCACATCAGAGTGTGGTCTTATGTAAGAGTTAATTCTAAACTAGTTTTTACTGACATAACAGTGTCTTTTAGAACACATCTCAGCCATGTGTCTGCTGTAAGGCTGAAAAAGGACTGTAGTCACATAAACTCTAATTCACATTCTAGTTTTTCTCTTCTAAATCCAGCCTGCTCACCCTGCAAGTCTGTTGAAGCACCAAATGATGTGCCAGAAAAGCAACACTTTTGGATGACTGGGTTGGACTCGTAAGCTTGAAATACTTTCTGGTGTCTAAGGTATACATGATCAAGCCAATGCTACAGAAACTTGCCAACAAAACAATATCTCCACAGGTCAACTGTGCCAGGCTTCAAAGTACTTTATCCCTCCCTCAGTAATTTGCGAAAGAAATAAATTTTTAAGTGTGACTAAGGGCTCCATGGGAGAGAGGTGGATTCCTTCGGTAGATTATAGCTTCAGAATACTATGGATCAGAAACAACTGCCAATAGTGGGTTGTGTTTAGTACTTGGAAATAAGGGTTCTGGAAGTTGACCCAGCTGGCCAAAGGTCACTCTAGTCTTTGATGGCACTAGGATTATGATCAGGACACAAGAACCACACGTTTCCTAATTCTGTCTGTTATGAATCCCACAGCAGATCTCTATTCACCTGGCATTGTCTGTCCTCTGCGACCCTCCAGGCCTTGCCCGGCGTGGCGCAGAGCCCGTTCTCCTCCTTACTCGTACTGGCCCCACACTGTGGTTTGAAGGGAGAGGTCTCAGGAATTCTATCATGCCATGAAGCCGCTGCAGTCCGCTGAAGAAGGTGGTCATCGAGTGGAGTGAAGCTTCCCGGACAGCAGCAGGGTTAGCACCAGCTTGCTGTCCACCTTCCCGTGAAGGTCCCGTATCAACATTCTCCACTCTCTGTTCTCCTAAGGGAGGCTGTTCCTCCGTCAAGTCAATGGACACCTGCGGTGGAGGCTGGACCACGGGCAGTCTTGCCTGGTTGTCGACCACGTCAGCTGAGGGAGGCTCTTCTGCAGGAGGGGATTGTTCTGCAGTAGGATGATCGGACTGTTCCGGCAGATCATACTCCATTGCTTCATGAGCCGTAACTAAAGAAGGAACGTTTAAATATTAGTTAAATAGGTAAAAATTATGCCGTGTAGTTGATATGATTACACCTAGTCTTTCACATTTTCCAGGGAGGTCTGGTGGTGGAGTATGCCATAAGGGGTTGTGCATACTATACAGAAGCCACCTTTATTGGCAGTTTTGAGACCAACAGCGGCTCCTCCTCCCATTAGGAAAAAGAACTCTGGAGGCCTAGTGGTAAACTGCTCTGCATGAAGCCTCTGTGATTCCAATTTTAGTGCATTTAAAAACAAGCAAAAATCACACAATTCTATCTATAAATCCAAAGTCTAATCCATTTCTGTATTATTTCCTAGACTAAGCTGTTGTCGTTATCTGCCGCCCCCCAAAAAAAGAGACTCATAGCGACCACAGAGAAACAACGGATTTGAACCATCTGAGCCTTGTCCTGTGCCATTCCCACCATCTAACACATATCTGACCTGATAATTAATCAAATTATCGATTGATTAATCCACCACACTGCTCATAACAAAACCAAAAACCAGAAAAAAGTAACAGATGCTACATCTACTGTTATCACTTAAGGTTTTGCTGGGGCACTCTGATGGCCTAGTGGTTAAGGAGATGCACTGTTAACTCCAAGGTATAAGGTTGGAATCCACCAGCTGCTCTGCGGGACAAAGATGGCCATCTCCTCGCTGGCCATGTCCAGCCTCTGAAAACCAGCTGGACAGTTAGCAAAGGGTCAGTGCTGACTTGGCAGGGACGTGACAGACAAGCAATTGCCCCTAGTTCCAACCCTATAGATGAAACCAGGAATTCTGTACCCAAGAAAGCAATCACTTGCTTCTCCAAATCTCACTTCCGCTCTCAATGATGTTGAAATCTTGCCTAAGTGCTTCTAGGGCCCATGAACCACGTTTCCAAACCCAGGTTTGAGACCACCAGTGGGCCAAGCGATTTCTTAAAAAGTCTGCCAAACCAACTTTCTAGAAACTAATGGGGGTCGGGGGCGGAGTTATACTCGCACTAACCGCGGCTTGCAATTATTGAGTCTAATGAAACTCTCTCTAACGCACTGAGCATCGTGGACTGAGTCAATTTCCAAGATCGCAAGAGAGTTCCATGGAACCTCGCTGTTGAGCTGCAGAGCTTCCCGCAAGCATGCGGAGGCGGACCCCTCTGACCCGTGGACAACGCAGGAGTACCCAGAATAAGATCCAAGGCGCTGGTCACCCCAAGCCTTAGGGGAGCTGGTGCTCGAAAGCCACCGAAAAGCAGGCTGAGGTTTACAACCTTAACTTCCGATCTATCCGCTTACAAGGCTTGGTCCCCGTGATTGTAACCATCGCCCGCACGCTCTGGGGTGCAGGCCTTCAAGAAGCAAGAGGAGAAGATATCGCAAGGAGTTCAAAACCTTTGAATTTAAGTTGCTTCAGGGCTTGTGAGGCATTCTTTACAAACGGAGTCTGGGGGTCTGGGCACTGGGACACTTCCGGGGATCGCCCCAAATTCCCTTCCCTCGTCGCCTTCTCATCCCAACCTCCGGTGTCTCCCCAGCAACCCACAAGAAGCGGGCGTTTGGGCACCTCTCTGCCCGGACCGTTGAGGCTGCTCAAGTGGCCGATTTCTAGGTGGCACGAAGCGAGCGCGTGAGGCGGTTCTAGGCCCCGTATTCACGGTCTAAACCCGAAGGAGCTCTTTCCGGAGCCAGCGGGCCAAAGTCAGGGGAGAGGCAAACGCCGACCTCACCTGAAGCCATAAGGTCGAGGCTCGCCAGCGAGTCACGTTGCAAATGCTAACTAACTTCAGCCGAGTAGGACCTCACAGCGCAAAACGGAAACCTGCCCTGCAGCTCAAGCTCCCCGCCCGAGCCGCGGGGATGCCCTGCTCCGATTGGCCAGCCGGTACCCAATAATAATTCTTTTTCTTTCATTGGTCGCTCAACCACTGTGAGGCGCACTGGTTGGCTGAAGCTTCGTAAACCGGAAGCTCAAGGAAGCGACGTACAATCGGTCGAAGACAATGCCACTCATACCTTTGTTCCTATTGGCCAATATTCATTTACGCCTCCATTCTCTATATTAGAGGCGCTTCCACTAGAGGCGCTCTGATTGGCTGATTCTTCGATAACAACAAGCAAGCGGGAACACGCTCAAGGAAGTCTGATACAATTGGTAGAGGTCTATGTCACTCACGTCGTGCGGAGCTGGTGAAAAAAAGAGCGGTAGGTCAAGTTTTTAGCGGTCTCTTTTTTGAACTTTCTGGCGGGAGGAAGTTGTGAGAAAGTTTTCTAGGCCTATTGCAAAACACAGATGAAAATATTAAAACTTTGGTTTCTGCACCTTCTCGCCAACATGTTAGTGAAGTTACCTATTTTTATGCAGACAGTGGCTAATTGGGTAAATTAAAAATATTGTCCTTGGAATTCCAAAGTCTCTAAGAAGGATTAGACAGTTCCCAATATCTCACGTGGAAGAATTTGCCCACATTGCAATGAATTTCCGGCTACCAGACAAGGCACATCTTCCTTTATTACCTCTGTATTTCCTGAAATATTTCGATCCCAGTCAAATCTTTATTTATATGATTCTGTGCGTCCTTTCCGCCTTTTCATGCTTATTGGATCATTCAAGATTGTGCCCATGACATCTCTCAGTATTTCATATGGCTTGAATTTATTTCAGTTTTTCAGTTCTTTCAGCTACAGAAATGTCAAGCGAGTACTTCCCACTTTATTCTCCAATTCTAGGTCTCTGCACTTTCCATTATGTTTCTCTTTGTCTTCTCGAGTTGGTCTTTGAAATCTTCTGTTCAGCTCTTTTACTTAAGCATCTCTTCCTTTGTTTTGTTATCTCTGCATTCTAGTGCAGTCCTCTGGGTCTCTTGACATCTGCTTTGGTTTTTTTCTTCATGAATGATATCCTTGATGTCCTCTCACAACGCATCTGATCTTTGATCATGGGTGTTACATGCTTCAAACCTTTTCTTTTTCCTTTTTTTCATTCCAAAAATTTTTTTTGAGAAAAAGCCTCGCCATCTTTATTGTGTTTTTTTTTTTAATTTCCATTCATTCATTCACTGTTGCACTTTTCTCCCCTCCCAACCCTAGCCCCTAGTACACTACCCTCTTGGAAAAGTAAAAGAAAAATTATTTCATTACAATCCCTCTCCCAGGTCCACTCCAGTATGCAGCCTTCGCTCTGGACTCCTGTCATGACAAAAATACCTAATCACATATCCCTTTTAAATAGTTTTCTCCCTCATCTGTTTTAGTGCACTATACATTATTGAACCCATCTTAGTCTCCTCCCAACCCCGAGGTCAGTCCTGCTTTACAACAGTGGCCCCATGCAGTATTTGTCCTTTTGTGACTGAGATACTTCACTCAGCATAATGTCCTCCAGGGTCACCCATTTTGAATACTATTGCATGAGCTCCTTGTTTTTCCAATGCAGCGTAGTATTCCATTGTGTGAATATACCACAGCTTCTCTATCCATTTGTTCAACTCCTTGCTATTGTGAACAGAGCTGCAATAAACATGGGTGTGCATATATCTGCTTGGATGTCAGTTATGGTCTCTTTGAGGTATATTCCCAGTAGTGGAATTGCTGGGTCAAATGATGTCTCTATTTGCAGCTTTTTGAGAAAGCGCCATACCGCCTTCCACAATGCTTGCACCATTTTACACTCCCACCAACAGTGAATAAGTGTTCCAGTTTCTCCACAACCTCGCCAGCATTTTTTGCTTGCTGTTCTGTTAAATTTTGCTATTCTGACTGGAGTGAGATGATATCTCATAGTTGTTTTGATTTGCATATCTCTTAGAGCTAGGGATTTTGAACATTTCTTCATGTGCTTGTTAGCCATCAGAATGTCATCTTTGATGAAGTGTCTGTTCATATCCTGTGAAATTGTCTTTTTAACTATGAATGCAGCAACATTCTTCCTCTGTTCTTCATCCTGGCATAATATACCATGTGATTGTCTGATTCAAAGTGGATAATGATAATGAATGAAGAAGTTCAAGCTGTACTGAAGGCATTGGAAATAAAATATGGTCCCAGGAATTGATGGAATACCAGTTGACATGCTTCAAATGACAGATGCAGCCCTAGAAGTCTCACAAGTCTATGCCAGGAAATTTGGAGGACAGTGGCCTGACTGGAAGAGATCCATATTTATTTCTCTTCCCAAGAAACGTGATGATTCAACAGAATGAGGAAATTATTGAACAGAAGAGATTGAGATTGTTCACAGCTTCAGTTTGCTTGGCTCCACAGTCAACACTCTCGGTACCAGTAGCCAGGAAATTAAAAGACGTATTGCCACAGGAAAGTCTGCTGTTAGGGACCTCTCCAAAGTACTGAAGAGCAATGGTGTCTCTCTGGAGACTAAGCTGCGTCTGATACAGGCCAGAGACTTTGATATCACTTGTTATGCATCAGAGATTTGGACAGTGACAAAGGAGGATAGAAGGAGAATTGATGCCTTTGAGCTGTGGTGCTGGAGAAGAGTATTGAGGGTACCATGGACTGCTACGAAAACAAACAAATTCATCCTGGAAAGGGTTAAACTGGGTGGCTCCCTGGAGGCAACGATTCTGAGGGTCTGTCTAACATACTTTGTACATGTTGTAAGAAGGGACCGGTCCTTGGAGAAGGACATCATGCTTGGGAGGGTGGAGAGACAGCGCAGGAGGGGAAGGCCCTCTATGAGGTAGATTGATTCACTGACTGGGGTAATCAGGATGGGTGTATCAGAGACAGTGTGATTGGCACAGGACAGAGTAGAGTTTAGGGCTGTTGTACATAGGGTCACTATGAGTTGCAAGCGACTCGATGGCACATAACAACAACAACATTCTCACCACTGCACCAATGGACAGCTTCATAATGGACAGAGACTGAGGTTGCTGAGAGCTTCAGCTTGCTTGGATCCATCCACAATCAACACTCTTGGCACCAGCAGTCAGGAGATCAGAAGACAAATTGCATTGGGAAAGTCTGATGTCACGGATTCCATGAAAAAGAACATAGCCTCAATATTGGAAGAGGACTCATCAATAACCTTTGTTATGCGGATGACACATTGTTATTTGCTGAAAGTAAAAAGGACTTGAGGCACTTGCTGCCAAAGATCAGAAACCGCAGCTTTCAATATGGACTGCATTTCAACATCAAGAAAACAAAAATCCTCACCACTGGACAATATCATGATAGCTGGAGAAAAGACTGAAACAGTAAACAACCTTATCTTGCTTGCATCCTCAATCAATATATACTTGGTACGAGCAGTCAAAAAGTCAGGAGACATGTTGCACTGGGAAAGTCTGCAGTCAGAGAACTTTCCATGTTATTGAGGAGCAATGATGTCAGTTTGGGGAGTAAGGTGCGCTTGACTCAAGTCATGGTCTTTTCGATCACTTGCTATGCATCTGAGAGCGGGACAGTGAGTGAGTATGACAGAAGAATTGATGCCTTTGAACTATGTATTGGAGTTAAGTGCTGAACTGCCAAAGAATAAGCAGATATGTGTTGGAGAAGGTACAGCCAGGGTGCTTGTTGGAGGCAATGCTGATAAAGCTTTCTCACATGCTTTCAGCATGTTGCTAGGAGAGGCTATTCCTTGGAGAGAGGCACCATGCTTAGAAAGGTGGAGGGTCAGCGAGAGGATTGTTACACCAGATGGAGGGACACAGTGACAACCACAATGGACTTGAACATGACATAGATCATGAAGATGGTGCAGGAAAGGGCAGTGTTCAGATATGTTGTCATACGGTCCCTATGACTTGAAGTCATTTGATGGCACCTAACAACAACGTTCTATCTACAAGGGAATTGGCTAGTTTCACCATTCTACCAGGTTTAACTTGAGTAGGCACAGCAGCACAATTGGAGAATCCAAAAGAACAGACACGTTTGTCTTGGAGGAAATGCAACAAGTGTGTTCCTTGGAGGCAAAGATGGTGAAACTTTAGCTTGTGACCAAAAATGTTCACATACTTTGGGCATTTTGTCAGAAGGCGTCAATCCTTGAAGGACATCATCATGCTGGGAAAAGTAGAGAGTCAGTGAAAGAGGAAGAGCGTTAAGTAGATGGATCGACTCAGTGGCTTCACTAAAACACTTGAAGGCAACAAAGACTAGAGGATGATGCAGGATTAAGCAAGGTTTCCACCTGTGTACCGAGGGTCACCTTGAGCCAGAACTGACTTGACACATAACAAAACATTCAAATAATTTTTTATTGATATTCCAGTCTTTAAAAATACAAAGAATGTATAAGAAAAATATAAGTTTCTTTTCCCCCACAACAATACAAAGTCCTAAAATCTTTGGATTCCATTTCTACATGGTAAAAATACACACAAGTTTCAGAGATATTGTAGGTCAGGTTCCAGACCATTGCAATACAGAGAGTCACACAAATATTCTTGTTTCTCAGTGTGTGCAAGTTTTGTTTACACTAAAATGTAGTCCATTAAGTATGCAACAGTATTATGAAAAAGGTTTGAATCATGGAGAAGATGACTCACATGAGACAGACATGAAGCATGAGCAGCTGGGGGGAATGACATTAATAGACTTGCTTGACACAGAGTTGCCATAAACCTTCAGTTTGCAAAAAGAAACAAAACCAAAGAAACCAACATCTTCAAAGTGCAGTATGAGGTATGCTATTAGCTGGAGATGATCAGAGGCTGCTTTTAACAAAGCTCATGTGTTTACTGAAGCCCACTCTTGGCCCAACTCAGTCATTTAGGTCCCCTCAAACCTTGCAAGGATTAGTTTGTAATCTCTGGTAGAGTCCTGGGACCTCAGCCTGGAATATCATGTCAGGATCTGAGACAGGAGGCCTTGGGTATCCAAATGAGAGCAGCTTGTGCTTCTTTCAATTGGCCGAATAATGACTATACAACTCATAGTGTGCTATAACAGAAATATCACAAGTAGGCAGATTTTAGGAGCAGAAATACATTTTTTCGTAGTTTTGGAGACTAGAAATCAAAATCCAGGTTAATGGCTGTAGGAGAAAGTGCTTAGTGTCCAATTTGAGGGGAAATCCTTGACTCTCTGTTGCCAGAGTACCCCTTAAATGTGCTCCCTAAGAAAATGATGATGATATAATCCTTAAATTTGGGTTCTTTCTCTTGCTGAATAACAGACAGGAATCTAGGGGGTTTTATGCAAGCAAAGAGAGTTCTTAGGGAAAAGACTTTACAAAGCGAAACTACAGATGTGGAAGGATGAAGCAACACTAGCCCACAGCTCACTGAACAAAACAATTTTTTTTTAAATTTATAAAGGTTTCTTAAATTTATCAAGGATTCTGAAGCTTCGTCTGACATACTTTGAGCATGTTGCAAGGAGGGACTGGTCCTTGGAGAGGGACATCATGTTTGGCAGAGTGGAGGGGCAGCGAAGGAGAGGAAGACCTTTGATGAGATGGATCGATTCTGTGACTGGAGTGGTGGAATAACTGCGGTTGAGACGGCGAGTTTGGCACAGGATAGAACAGCGTTTGGAGCTCTTGTGCACAGGGTCGCTATGAGTCTCAAGCGACTCGATGGCCCATAACAACAACAACAACCAAGGTTTAGGTGAGCAGGAGTTTCGTGATTATTCATAAAGGAAAATGGGGAATTCCAGAAAATGTTTGGTATAATAGGAGTTATGATAATGAAGTGCTCAACGCTGGTTCTTCAAGATCGACATTGTTGCAGAAGCATCTGGGTCCAGAGGCATCACTTATTTTTAAAAATTTCTTTTTAATTTAATTTTATTATTTTGTGTGTGTGTGTACCATCAATTCGGATCTGACTAGTACAGGAGGAGATTGCCCCTCCTTCTCCAGCAGAGCATATGGTGGATTCGAAACACTCACCTCTGGGATTGTAGTGCCATTAGGCCACCAGAACTCCCTAGAGAGGCATCACTTATTATGGGATGGAGTGCATATGCTGTGTCCAGGATCTCCGGTTTGACTTCTCCTGTCTCGTAGATAGCCTCACTTCTTGTCTAGGAAAGTCAGTCCTCAGTTACAAATAGTGTTTCTGCCTGTCCTCCAGGAACTGATTCAAACGTCTTTAGTTTTTAAATAATTATGAAGGAAGTTACTCTAGGAAATGGTTTCACTTCAGACCTGGTTTTAAGGAAGTTAGTCTTGATAATGACTTATCACAGGAATGGTTAACAATCACCAGATGTTAATAGATGGCAGAGTTTAAGCTAAGTATAGGCTATAATTAGAGTCATGATGCTAGCCCAGTTCAAATGGTAAGGGAACAGACCACCGCTTTATGGCAGAACCTCTCCCTAGCCCCACCATTGCAATGGGTGTGGCTAGAAAAGAGCTTTGCAAAGCATCTAGCATGGTTATTGAAGCACATTCTTGGAAATAACATTTGCATGGGATATGCTGTGTATGAATGGATTTGTGTTTTCTTTATAGCAGAGAAGTGCTGTCTTTCAGGAACCTAAATAACTCAATGCATATGCAGACAGAGCGATGTTAGACTCGAGCCTCTCACGTTCTTGTCCAAAGACTTGCTGGTTTAGGTTTCTGTTTCATTGTTCTTAAAGAAAGATAGTTTCTTTATGATTTCTGTGAATAAACAAATAGAAAGTTAGACAAGGCAAGGAGAAGATGCTGATGACGGGGACAGTTTCCCCTTGTGGAATTAGTGGATAAGGCCATTCCTATGCTCCTGACTCTTTTACACTGTACATGTATATTTTACTGCTTGTTACCAAATGGGGTGCAAAAATCACTTCTGGTGTCACCCAGGATTCTCAGAGCTTCGGAGCTGGAATATGAAAAGACCAAAATGATACCTACCATCCACAGAGGGTCGCCTGGAAGGCTCATAGGCTCTGCATTCATCAACGACCTCCTGCAGGCCTGGAGGACAGTCCTTCCCCAGAGGCTCCTGGTACCATTCTGACTGCGCCAGCTCGAAGATCTTTCTAGAATCATAACCTTGTATGGGAATGACAGGGTGAGAGGTTTAAAAACCAGCTCTGGCATGCATATGTCACTTTGGATGCTGATGGAGGGGTGGGGAGAATAGGTATGTGTCTCAGAATTAAAGATTTTTAGTACTGGAAAAGCAGCAGAACTTCAGTGATCCCACTGGCCAGCACAAGGAGGGAGTGTCCCTATTAGAGAACAGAACTTCCTGGAAGCCTTGGTGAGGAACTGTTAATCCACTGGGAGGGACCTCGTCCAAGCTCTGACCCAGCTTTCACACTCCTCACCTTTAAACGGGATCTTCCCAGTGGTGATTTCCCAGAGGACAATTCCAAAGCTAAAAGCAAACCAGGAAACAGAATAACCATAACAAACTTTCCTTTTCCCACACCCCTCTGGAACTTTCAGGAGATTCCATGAATTAGTTAATTGTCACCCCATTGTTTCAATAGGCATTAAACTATTCTCCGTAGGTGGAGTTAGACTTGAACTTTCACATCCTCTTCATCTGCCTTGGAAACCATAGAGAGGACATGCATGTACCTACCTGTATATTTCAGCTTTCACATCATATTTATGAAACACATTTTTCAGTCCCTGAGGTGAGATGTAGGCAGCATAACTGACGGGCTCTGCTCTTTTCTCCTTAGCTTCCCGACTGATGGAAGTCTGTGTTTTGCTCAATTCAAAACCTGCAAGCTAAATAGAGAGGGGACTTGGGACTTAGAACATTTGGGGCTGGAGGTAGGATGGATGGCAGAGGTTAATGCTACCTGTGTTCTCTTACCTTAGGAATTTATTCTCAGTGATGTCTTCTAGTTGTGTAGCTGATACTGCTATTATGTGTTCAACTGATTACAGAGCAGTGCAGAAGAGAAACACAAAGAGATTTCTAGATGCACGTCTCTGATTGCGCTCCGCAGAGACTGTGGGTTTTTAACAGGTTGAACGTCTGTGGCAATCCTGTGTCCAGCAACCCTGTGAGTGTCATTTTTCTGACAGCGTATGCTCACTATGTGTCTCTGTAGCCCATTCTGGCCATTCTCACACTGTGTCAAACTTTTTAAAATTGCTGCTGCACACTTAATAGACTCCCAAACCCAGACGGCCAAACCCACTTCTGCTGAGTAGATTGTGACTGATAGCGAGCCTCCACTGGAGTGCTGAGACTGTGAATCTTTACAGAAGGAAAAGGAAGAGATGGCTTCTCTTTCCCCTGTGGAGTGGATGTGAACGGCTGATCTTTCAGTTCGCTGTCAGACATGTATCATGCTAGGCCACAGATCTCATTAACAGGCGATCGTATAAAAATGCCTTTGATCCACACTGTCACTGTTATGTGTGCCACTGAGTCAGAGTTGACTCGTAGCTGACCTTCCAGCAGGTTTTCAGAGACAGTAAATCAAACGGGAGGAGACAGGCCATCTTTCTTCCATGCAGCAGCTGGTGAATTCACACCTTTGAGATTACAAACCTTTGGGGTTCACTCCTTTGAGATTACAGCACAACTGCTTACCACTCAGCCACCAGAGCTCCCTTTTATATGCACAGGATTGGCTCCATGGCCCCCCCACCCCCACCCCAAGGCTCACTCACCTTCACGTGGTAGCCTTCAGCGACCAGGAAGCTGGAGCTGCTAATGTTCCTGTGTAATTCAGGGTCTTCGGAGTGGTGCAGACTAGAAGAACCAAAGGGGGAAAGCATTTAACGCCCTTTACGGAAATCCTCTTAGGGACTCTGACTCTGTGGATGATAAGACTGCCACAACCATGCCTTCCTTATGGAGTGGTATCCTGTGGTGGCTTTTGTGTTGTTGTGATGCTAGAAGCTGATATTTCAAATGCTGGAAAGGTCACCCATGGTGGACAGGTTGCAGAGGAGTTTCCAGGCTGAGAAGAAGGACTGGACATCCATGTCTGAGATAAAGAGCCTTCGTAAACTCTATGAACAGTGGAAGAACACTGCTGGATAAAGTGCCAGAAGATAAGGTTGGAAGGTAGTTAACACGTTGCCACACACTTTTAAATTGACGACCTTGCTTAGAAACACATTTTGCCATCATTTGTGGCAATGTGTTAAACGGTGACTGGGGAAGAGCTCTGAGTAGAGCCTGCTGTAATGATGTGGATGGAGTGAGGCTTCCACCCAGTGGAGAACCTACATTTGCTCATGTGGCGAGACTCAGAATGAGGAGAGACAGCTTCAGGCAGCCATTAATTATTGGAACATGGAATGTGAGAGGCTTGAATCTAGAAAAATTGGAAGTTGTCAGAAGTGAAATGGAACACATAAAGATAAAAATGGACTGGTATTGACTAATTTTAATCAGATAATCACATGATCTGCTATGCTAGAAATTACACATTGAAAGAAATGGTGTGGCATTCATGATTAAAAGAGCATTTCAAGATTCTCTCCTGAAGTACAATTCTGTGACTCATAGGATCCTGTCAATATGCATACAAAACAGTCCTGTTAATACAATTATTTTAAAATATACACACCAATCACGAAAGCCAGAGATGACGAAATTAAGGATATCTACCAACTATTGCAGTTTGAAATTGATCAGACATGCAATCAAGATACATTAATAATAACTGGTGACTGGAATGCAAAAATTGGAAACACAGAAAGACTGTTAGTTGGAAAATATGGCCTTGGTGTTAGAAATGAGGCTGGAGATCAAATGATAGAACTTTGTACAATGAATATTTATTCATTGCAAATACTCTTTTAAAAAAAAACATAAATGGCAACTATATACATGGACTTTACCTGATGGATTACACAGGAATCAGATTGCCTACATCTATGGAAAGAGATGTTGGAGAAGCTCAATATCAGCAGTTAAAACCAGGCCAGGGGCTGCCTGTGGAACAGACCACTGACTACTCCTATGCAAGTTCAAAGTTAAAATCAAGTCCACAAGAACCAAAGTATAGCTTTGAGTGTATCTCAACTGAATTTAAAAACCATCTTAGAACAGATTTGATGCATTGGACACTAATGACCAAAGGCCAGAGGAGTTTAGAATGACATCAAGGATATCATCCATGACAAAAGCAAGAGGGCATAAAAAACAAGGAAGAAAAAAGAAGGAAAAAAAAACAAGGAAGAAAGAAATTACAAAAATGGATGCCAGAAGAGACTCTAAAACTTGCATTGGAATAAAAAGCAAAACAGGGAAGCAATGCTGAGGTAAGAGAGCTGGGCAAAATATTTCAAAAGGAAGCTAACTGGAAAACTAACTATTGACTATGCTAAGACATTTGACTGTGTGGATCATCTATGAAATTATAGCTAACATAACCAAGAAAGAGAATCCCAGAACACTTAATTGGGCTCAGGCAAAACCAAGGAGCAGTTATCTTAGCAAGGGGACACTGCATGGTTTAAAATGAATGCATCAAATATGCACTAATTAAAGTGTGCATCAGGGTTGTATCCTTTCTCCGTACGTATTTGATCTGTATGCTGAGCAAATAAGTTGAGAAGCTGGGCAATATAACGAAGAATGTTGCATCAGGATTGGAAGAAGACAAATCAACAACCTGCACTATGCAGATAACACAGTTTTGCTTGTAGAAAGTGAAGACAACTTAGAACACTTGCTATAGAAGATCAATGACCACTTTCAATGTGGGATACATATCAACATTAAGAAAACAAAAATCCTCACCACTGGACCGATAGGTGTCCTGATAAATGGAGAAAAGATTGAAGTTGTCAACAGTTTCATTTTCTTTTAATCCATGTCAACACTCATGGTAGCAGCAGTCAAGAAATCAAAAGACATGTTGCACTGGGGGAATCTGCTGTCGAGGAGCTCTCTGAAGTTCTAGAGAACCAGGATGTCCATTTAAGGACCAAAGTGAGCCTAATTCAAGCCATGGTGTTTTCAGTTGCTTCCTGTGCATCTGAAATTTGGACCGTGAATAAGAATAATTGATGCCTTTGAATTGTGGCATTGGTAAAGAGAACTGAATATCCCATGGACTGCATAAAGACCAAACAAAACTATCTTGGGTTACAACCAGAGTGCTCCTTAGAGGCAAGGATGGTGAAACTTCTGACTTGCTTAGGGCGTGTTTTCAGGGGACACTAGTCCTTGAAGTGTAATAGCATGCTAGGAAAGGTAGTGAGTCAGCAAAAGAGAGGAAAACTCCCCATGAGATGGGTTGAGATACTGACAAGCACAATAGCTTGAGAGTGACAGGGGCCATGAGGCTGGCCCAGGATAGGGCAAAGCTCAGATTTTTTGCAGGGTTGTTATGAGTTGTTATGAGTTGACTCGATGGCACCTAACAACAACAACATCCTTGGACAGACAGGAAAAAGGAGGTGCAGGCGAGTCCACGTGCAAGATCTGACAGTTGTGCAGTGAGCACACAGTGGAGCTAAGATGCAGCCCGAGATGTCCACCCTACAAGGAGGTGACAGCCCTTGGGGAGTGTGTGCGATCGAGGCAAACCAAAGTCCTCCTGGCCACGCTGGAACAGGCTTAGGATCCTTCTGCTGAAACAGAATGTGAGCCTGGGGTTCCCATCAACTTACAGGCAAGTACTTTGGTTGAATGGAAGGTCTGGGTCCCCACTGGATGTCAGGGAGTGTTCCCTAGATCAGCTCCTCCCAAAAGCTGACCGTGACCCAAAGATTTAGGGTTCAACTGACTTGCTGAGAAAAGTGCCCTCAGGAGAAGCCAGTGAAGGAGTGAAGGAAGCATAGTGGAGGAGAAATCGAGCAGGGACTGGTTTCTGGGATGTCCCAGAGTCTCAGCTGGATCCCAGGGAACCTGGGAGCATGATTACATCTTGGGTTTGTCCAGCTCGAGGGAAAGGATCTGGACTTTTGTACTCACACCAGTTTGGCAATGTAAGGTTTGGGGGGGATGGGACACTCTAGGGCACTTACAGCTCTCTGAAGGCCACGGGAGCTGCAGTGCCCACCAATAACCATTTAGAGGCTGTAGCTGTGAGCTGTGAAGCAGCAAAGTGTGCAGAGTAGGGCAGGGGTCTGCAAAGCAGTACCCAGGTTTAGATACCATCCGAATGGCCACTGGCAATGTCCCCTACAGCCTTTAAAGTGATTTATCATAAAACCAACCAGTTTAGGGAGAGCCAAGTAGAAAAAATATTACAGTCTCAAGTATAATAGCACTAAGGCTCTTACCTCATTGTTGTTGAGTCAGGACTTACTCAGGGCTGACCCTCCAATGGGTTTTCAGAGGTCATAAATAGCAAAGGAAGAGACTTCCTGACTTTCTCCCATGGAGGATTCAAACCACATACCTTCGGGTTGGCATCTCACTTCCTTACCACTAAGCCACCAGAGCTCCGTCTAGATCATTAGTAGGTAGCTATTCTGATCTAGCTCTTTTTGGTACCCTTTCATCCCGTCTGGTTACCTGTACAAGCCTTTGGCTGCCTCCAAACACAAGAAGATGCGCCCACCGTAGTCCAGGTTCTGTTGCTCATCCAGCAGTTCCCGAAGGGTCCCCAGTTCACAGTGCTCCATGACAATGCAGAACTGGGTGGGATGCTCTGAGGAAGAAGAGTCAGATGAGAGAGAGATCCTGTCCTACTTAGGCCCACCTTGCCCTCCTCCCTATCCCATCTCATTCAGCTTGCTCCCCCATCTCTCAGATTGGGTTAAATACCCCTGGATCTCTTCCTCTTCTTCTTCTGATACTTGCCATTTCTTAAATCTACATCTGGTTGAGTTGTTATTTCAGGAATGCTTTCCCAGCTGAACCATAACCCAAGATGTCAGGAAATGTGTCTCCTTTGCTCACACTGCACTTACAAAAGCAGGAACTTAATAAATGTGTGTGGAATGAATGAATAAACGTATGAATGGATGCTTCCCCTAAGGCAGGGGCTGAGAAGTCTCATAACATACATAATCTTGCACTATTCAGAAAGACAAAGTTTAATCTACAAGTAGATTACACACAGGCACTATGAACAACAGAAACAGGTGAAAAGACTACATCTATAACCATCATGGGTTTGTCATGCATTTCTGCATGCATATTTGTATATGCTGTAAATACACCCATGCATAAAGTAAACAGGTGGCAAAGTGATGTCAACATTTTTATCTTAACCAAACACCCTGAGTTGCTCGTCTCACAGCCTCAGGACCTGGGAGACCTCAGGGTCACAAAGAAGTTACACATCCTGTTTTGGTGAGTTACAGCTGTCTCAAAAGCTTGTGAGCAGCCACTTAAGATGCATCTAATGGTCTGTCCCCATCTTTTTTTTCCCTATAATTATATTTTATTAATTTTCATGAACATTTACAGAGATTTTGGGTTTCCATTCATTCATTGTTGCATTATGTCCCCATCTTTTAATTGTTCTGGATTTACCACTCTTCATAATGTTATCCATAATTTGTTACGACTCACACAGTCAAATGTATGCTCAAAAAATGAGTATATTTCTGTTTTTAGTTTTTAGATTGTTGTTGTTATGTACCATTGAGTCAGAACTGACTCACAGCTGACGCTCCAATGGGTTTTCAGAGGCAGTAAATTGCATGGCAGGAGACTGACCATCTTTCTTCGAAGGAGCAACTGGGGGATTTGAACTGCATGCCTTTAGGTTGACAGTGCAGCTCCTTGTCCATAAGTAACCCAGGCTCCTTAGTTTTGGGATTAGATCTATATTAATGATGATCAAGGGATTGGATTCCTTGTTCAGATCAGTTTTAGAATTTTTAAAAAGGTTTTATACTATTTTATAGCAACAAAATGCGCCCTTCACCAAGGCAATCTTCTGAACACGGCTTCTAGTGGAATGCCAGGGGGAGAGAAGTGCAAACCGACTGACAGATTGACTGGCAACTCCACCTCTACTCTCTTGAGGACTTATATGGGGACTTATATACCTTGAATACAAAAAGTAATCGTCAAAATGATAACACTTTATAGATTCCACTCTTTCAAAAAAAAAATTAAAATAACACTTTACAACTCAGACTATCTAGCCACTAAAAGCATGATCTATCCCAGAAGCACCCCTTACCTGTTTCATCAATGCAAATCCCAAACACACGCAGGATGTTGGGGGAGTCAAATTTTTTCATGGTTCTGATCTCATTATGAAAAGTACTCTTCACATGTCTGTGAGAGAGGAGAAACAAAAGAACAAAAAGAACTGGAAGATTCCTTGGAGAATTTTGACAGTAGTGATCCTGTGTGTGTGTGTGTGTGTGTGTGTGTGTGTGTGTGTGTGTGTGTGTGTACATGTATGAAGTGAGATATCTTCAGAATCTTTTAGAGGTGAGAGCTGGTGGTGTCCTAAGCTAGTTACTGAAAACAAGGTATACTTAAATATATTCACACAACAGAAGGTAAAGTGACTTCCTAAGAGTTTCTAAAGATCACAATGGGGCTTGCTGATTGGTTTTCAGCATTTCAAACAGCCTTACAGAACGGTACTTATGATTTTTTTTTTTTTTTTTTTTGCAGATGATACAACTTTACTTGCTGAAAATGAGGAGGACTTGAAGCATCTGTTGCAGAGGTACTTATGATTTTATAATGATATTTTTCTTTATTAGATATATGTATCATTTTATTAGGGTAGAAGCTATATAACACAAAATTAGACATTTTAATGCTGCTTATGTCTGCAATTTAGAGACATTAGCCACATTCACAATGTTGCGCAGCCAGGTACCATGATCTATTTCCACATTTTTTTTCGTCACTTCAGACAGAAACTCTGCAAGCACTTTCAGCAAGCACTCTTCTTTGGTCTGTGTGTATCCTACAGAGCTTGTGTAAGTGCTCAAATAAGGGATCATCTGACAGTTATACTTTTGTGTCTGTCTTGCCTCCCTCAGCATCAGGTTTTCAAGGCTTATCCATGTATTAGATCCTCATTTATCCTGATGGCTGAATAGTAATCTTATTATATGCACACACCACATTTTCTTCATTCATCTACTGATGGTCTAGGGTCATTTCCTTTCTTTTTTTTACTCTTGTAAAGTTGACTGCAATGAACACTAGTATACAAGTAGCTGTTTGGGTCCTTCTTTTGAAGACTTTTGGATACACAGCAAGGGCTGGGTAGCCATGAGGAAGCAGTGAAATAGAGGACAATCTGAAGCGACTTACCTGCTGCTGCCCTGGGACTTGTTGAACACTTTGATGGCCACTGGGCATTTGCAGTACTCTCCTTTATACAGGGTGCTGTATTTACTTTTCCTTAGCTCAATCCAGGGGGACCCCGAAAGCTCCTCCCTCCTAATCTCCTTGATGTGTTCTTGTGGGAGCTCCTTCATGGGTTTCTTCAAGTCTAACCTCAGGCCGAGAAAGAAGGAAACAAAGGGTCAATGAGACTAGGAATGTGTCATTTGAGAAGAGGCCTCTTAGTGACATGTTAATGAGGCATTCCACACGGATCCAAACTGGCTTGGCCTGGAGCATCCAGCTCATCTGAGGGAGAGGGTGCAATGGCTGTGAGTGACTGAGAGAGACACAGCTAAAGGCTGAACGGAAGTGTATCAAGAACATTGTTCCTATCTCCAAATCCTGCTTGTATCTCCACCCTCAATCTCTATCCCCACTCGCCTCTCATTTCAGAGGTCTCTGTACTCCTCATTAGCCATAAACTCAACTCATTGCCATCAATTTGGATCCAACTCATAGCTGACTCTCCACTGAGTTTCAGAGGCAGTAAATCACGTGGGAGAAGATTGTCCATCCTTCTCCCTTGTGCCACTGGAGGATTTGAACTGCCAGAGAGGTGTAGATGTAGGGTTAGCAGAACCACCAGATCCATAAGCACATCTAGAAAACCTTTCAGCTGCCCAGCTCAGAGTGTGGACAAGGGCAGGGCTAGGGAGACTGGACTTCAAGTGTGCACAGTCAGAAGCAGCAGGGCACGTGATAACTTACATTTCTTCAAGGCTTCCATGATCCCATTCAACTCTTCCAGTAAAGATTCTAGATTTTCCTTTTCTGAAGAAAAAAGAGCAGCAGATAGTAAGAACTGAAAATGCAAATGAAAGCTATAATAGGATACTTGGGTTTTTATCTGCCATATTCACTGTGGCAGGAATGTGGCTGATTACCATTCTCCAGCTTTTGATTTCAAAGTACACAGGAAATGCTTGGTAACATTTGACCATGTGACTTGCTTTGGAAAAAAAATGCAGTGAAAGAGATGGGTTCCACTTCCCAGTGGAATATGTGTGTGTGTGTGTGTACCTATATCTATATCTATATCTATATATCATCTATATCTATATATCTATATCTATATATGGTGTTTTGGGGTTTTTTTTTTCTTTTTCCTCATTGCACAAAAGTGGCTGCTTTGGGAGTCTCGGAAATGTAGGTTAATATGGAAGTACACTCATTGAATTAGGTCAACACAGAAGTGCTGTAGTAGACTGTACCCTGGAAAGCTGAACTATAACATATCAGGTGCCTTGAGAAGTCTCCTGGACTATGTGCTCTAATGAGAAAGAAAAGTTTTTAAAAATAGCATAATCAAACCTATATTGCTCTATATGCTCAGAAGTCTTTTTTTAAATTTTATTTTATTATTTTTCTGTGTGTACCGTCAAATCAGATCTCACTGGTACAGGAGGAGATTGTCCCTCCTTCTCCAGCAGAGCATCTGGTAGATTTGAACCGCATACCTCTGGGATTGCAGTGCAGCCTCTTGCCACTAGGCCACCAGAGCTCCCTTCAGAAATATTTTTTTAGGAATTAATAACAAACTGGAGTGGGTAGAGAAAATGGGAAATATCTGGCAGGGATCTAGAAAGACAGGGTAATGGTGGACATAGTTCAATTATGATTACTTTTATAGAACATAGTGAATGGAAATGATTGTGTGAAATACAAAATGAATGAAAGATAGTGTGAAACGTGTGTAAGAACTTTGTTATATATAAAAGAACTGATAACAAACTAATTTAGCGTGACCACCCATACTCATCTGCCCAAGACTGAGGGCTTGCTGGGAGGTAGGGCATTCATTGTTAAAACTGGGCATGTCTCTAATGGAAAGAAGTCTTGGAGAAAGAAGACTGTCTCCCATTGGCAGTAGAAGTGGAATTGGTACAACCTCTGTAGGGGAGACACTCTATCACAATTTTTAACGTGCTTATTCTTTGAGCCACTTAGATCCACAAATTCCACTTCTAGAAAATGTCCTGAAAGTATGCTGAAAGAGACAGAAATTATCTCTTTAACAGCACTATTTACAAGAGTGAAAAATGGGAAACGAAAGGTCCACAGATAGGGAGCTACTTAAATATGACATGGTTCAGTCATAGTCTTGAACAAAACAGATGACTCTGGATATTTCTAGCAAACAATATTCCAGATGAACTCCTGTCAAAAGCAAGCAGCAGCATGCAGTAATCAGTATACTCCTAAGTGGCTAACAAAGTCAGCAACTTTCAAAATGCATGAACTTAAATCTCTGGAAGGCTGTTTACCGAACTGGTAAGACATCTGGGGGAGGCCCATTGTGGTCAAGGTCAAGAGGGAGATTTACATTCTGTGCCCTTTTTGTTCCTTTTGTATTTGGTACTATGTAGTTCTACTAAATAATGGGGGGAAAATATTTGTCGGTAGATATGAGTGCAGGAAGTGAATCTTGCTGGTGGCAGGAATGTGCCACACACTTCAAAAGGAAGTGGCCTGCTGACGTTGACTATTATGAAAGGTCAATCCTGCCCTTCAATTTGAAGGAACCACCTTCTAGAATCGTGTCAAAGAGAGGATGCAAAGGCAAAGGAGACTCATCAAGTCCTTTTTCTCCCTTGACTTCCCCAAATTTCAGCAGCCTCCACCATACTGTTGTTGTGTGCCTTCGAGTCATACATATCTAAGTCATGGACATCAGGAGTTCTGGGCACGTGGATAACCAGTTACCACTCAGTGGATTCCAATTCTTGGCGACCCCATGTGGTACCATGTAAAACTGCTCCCTGGGGTTTTCTTGGGTATAATCTTTACAAAAGCAAATCTCCAGTCCTGTCTCTGCCCCTTTGGGTGCATTCGAGCCACTAAACCTTTAGTGGCTGGTTGATGAGAACCCTGGTAGCCTAACAGTTCAGCATTCAGTGGCTAACCAAAAGTCAAGGACCCAAATCTGTTAAGTGACTGGCCAGTTGCTCCAGTAAAGATTACAGCCTAGAAAATCCTACGTGACAGCTCTATTCTGTCCTGTGAGTTCACTAGGAGTAAAACAATATTACTCCATGGCACCTAACAACAATAACAACAGATCATACAAACTATTTGTACCATCCAGGGAGCTTGACTACTTGGACAGAGTGCTACTTAAACCTTTGCCTCCTTCCTTTTCCTTTGGGAATCAAAGTTGGATTAAAGTGCACCCATTTGGCCCTCCTTTACACCACCCCCCCAAAAAAAGAAAACCATACGGCTGTCTTTCTCTGCATCCTGCAGATCTTCCTTTTGCCAGGATCTCCCATGTAAGGTGTTTACAAGAAGCCTCCGTTGGTCAGCCTGCAGCAGCAGCGAGAGCTCCTCGCAGACATCTCTCAGTCTCTTGCTGACGTCACCGAAGAGTATTCTGTCTTTCCTCGCCTTTAGGAACTTGAGGATGTGCGATTTATTGTTGAATTTTTCCATCCGCTTCTTCGCCTCCTCCAGGACTGTCTGGAAACGGAGCAGGGCCTCCGTTAGCGGGGCGGACAGCGTCTTCTCTCCATGGTCCTGGAGCATCTTCAGCGGCACCAACAGGCCACGGACGCGTTCCCCCAAGCGCTGGCACTGGTTCTGGCAGTACTCCATCTCTTCACACTGTGTGTAGACAAGGTGGCCTAAGGAGATGATCTGTCCCAGTGTATCCATGCCTGGAAGAAATCGATGGAATTCCTTTACGTCTCAGAATCTCCGGAAGATATAAGGGAGAACCAAGTGTGTCTGATCTAAAGACCTAAAGAGGCCTCCCCCTCATTCCTGAATCTGTTCTGAGAAGTGCCAGCCCAACTAGGATGAAATCTCCCAGCCCCCTTTGAGGCTAGCTACGGCCCTTTGACTAGTTCTCACCAGTGATGAGGAGAAGTTGTAAATACTGCTTTGAGTTTAGGTAGGATTGCCTTGACTCTCTTTCCCCTTCTGGTATAAGATGTGCAGGATGATGGGGCCGTAAGGCAGGCAGAACCCCAGCATGGCAGGACCCTGGGTCCTTGAATCACTGGAGGAGAGTCACTCACAGACCTGAAACCACAGACACCTGTCGTGGACTGTTGAGTGAGTAAGGAATGTGCCTGTTGTTATTTGCTGTCAAGGTGGAACCAATTCGTAGCCGACCCTCCTGTGAATTTTCAGAGGCAGTAAATGGCAAAGGAGGAGACTATCTATCTTCCTACCACAGAGTAGCTAATGGATTTGAAGCACAAGCCTTTGAGTTGGCTGTGTACCTCTTTACCACTAAGCCACCAGAGGTAACCTCCTTTAGGTTTGGGCCATTACAGTTTGGATCTGTTAGTTGTTTAGTCTGTATATGGCACAGTGCATAGGATACATTTAAAGGTCGGCAGGTGACTCAAATGAGTGAAGTGAGGTGGCCTAGTAACAGAACCTATATGCTCTACAATCACAAAGAAATATTCTTCCTCCCATTTTCCTTGGGACACGGGACTTCCCAGTCTCTCCTGTCTCCATTTCTGACAGAGGCAAGAGCACAGACTCCTGTTCACCACAGACAGCACTAAACAAATTAGCGACCAATGATCACTTTACCGTGTTAAAAAGCAGAGACATCACATTGAAGACTAAGGCGCACCTGACCCAACGGACAGTGAATAAGGAAGACCGAAAAAGACATGTCGTTGTTGTTGTAGTTATGTGCCATCGAGTCGCTTGCGACTCATAGCGACCCTATGTACAAGAGCTCTAAATGCTGTTCTATCCTGTGCCAACGAGACATTTGAATTATGATTGGTGAGGGATATGAACGATGTCCTGGACTGTCAGAAGAATGAACAGATCTATCTTAGCAGAAGCACCCCAAGAATGCTCCTTGGAAGTGAGCGTGCTAAGGCTTTGTCTCACATAGCTTGGCTTTGTTAGGCACCCGTCCCTGGAGAAGAATATCATACTTAGTGAAGTAGAGTCAGAAAAAGAGGAAGACCCTCACTGAGATGGACCGCCACAGTCGCTGTAACAATGGGCTCTAACACGCAGCAGTTGTGAGGATGGAGCAGGACTGAGCCGTGTTTTCTGCCGAGCACGGGGCTGCAATGAGTCAGATCCAACTCAATGACATCTCCCAACACAGTCCTATAACAAAGAACACTGCAGATGTGTAATGACGGAGGCAACAGATCCCTAGTCTCATCACCAGGATGACCAGAGATTGGAGAGCTCAGGCCCCAAAGAGGCCAAGGGCTATTACCTAGTAAGTCATCCGTGGCTGGACTTCAAGGATAAAGGGCCCAGTGATAGATGATATCCCAGCACTTCAAAAGCAGCCAGAAATATGTATTCTGTTTTTTTCTTATAGGGAAGAGCATGAACGCCAGCCCCCACTACCATGAATTGTGCAGTCAAGTTTCCCACATTTGGGGAAATCGCAGGGGTCATTACATCCAGGTGCAATGGATAAGCCTCTCCCTGGGAAAACCACCTTCACGATCATGGTATCTCCCCGGCCAGGTAAGTATTCCTATATTCAGTTTCTAAATTACTTTGAAATATTTGAATCAAGTGAAGAAGTGTTTGCAAAGCTGTAGTTCCAGGGAACTCTGGTGGCCTAGTGGCAAGAAGGTGCACTGCAATCCCAGAGGTACACGGTTCAAATCCATCCGATGCTCTGCTGGAGAAGGAGGGGCAATCTTCTCCTGTACCAGTCAGATCCGATTTGATGGTACACACACACAAAAAACCCAATAAAATAAAATGTTTTTTAAGCTATAGTTCCAAAAAACCACACCTGTCAACTAGATATTCACCATGAACACCTACTTCACCGGTGTTGGCCAAGGGTATCTATTTAAGATTGCAGAGAACTTGGCCTCTGTCAATCTTAAAGTTTTGCTTCTCTTTCCCCAGTTCACTGGCATCTTTGCCTCACCAGTTGTCAGCTGAACGCCCTTCGTTTTGGTTGCCTTTTTGTTGTTGTTATGTGCCCTTGAGTCCTTTCTGATGCATCGTGACCTTGTGTAGAACACGGTTCTGTCCTGTGCCACCCTCACACTCATGGCTGTACTTGAACCCTTTGTAGACACTGTGTCAATCTCTCCTGTCCAGGATCTTCTTCTTTGCACCGACCCTGTACTTTACCAAGCATGGTGCCAATCTCCAGGGACTGCTATCTCCTGAGAATATGTCCAGAGTAGGTGAGATGACGTTTTGCCATCCTTTCTTCTAAGGAATATTCGGGCTGTGCTTCCTCCACGACAAATTCATATCTTGATGACATAACAGATAACTCTATCTGTTAGAGAATGGGTGTGATGGCATTATGGGAAGCACAGTTGCTAGGAGAGGTTATTCCTTGAAGAGGGGCATCAGGCTCAGAAAAGTGGAGGAACAAGGACAGAGAAGATCACCCTCAACCAGGTGGACTGACACAGTGACTGCAGCAGTGCGCTTGAGTATGGAAGAGATTGGAAGGCTGGCACAGGACAGGACAGAGTTCAGGTCTGTTGTTCATAGAGTCTCTGTGGCACCTAACAACAACAAAAACAGAAGCATGGTACTCAAGGGATCTCAGACTCTTCAGCTCTTCCATCTGCAGAGAAGAGACTTCCAGCCCCTAGACCTCATGAATCCACGACCTTTTTCTTGTTCACACAGGCAGAAGCAGATGTGTTCTGCAGGAAATCTTGCAGGTTTTGGCATTTTAGCTCCAAGCCAGGAGGTGTGTTGGCTTAATCTGTAGGTAGTTGTGCTAACTCCAAGGCTGCGTCTCTCTGGAGGTTCGAATCCACCAGTAGCTCTATGGGAGAACAATGTGCAATCTTCTCTCATGTGACTTTCAGCCTCAGAAACCCAGTGGAGGGTCAGCAATGAGAGAGTGGGCGCGCCACAAACACAGTCTAGATTTTATTACCGACCTCATAAAAAACCTCTATCTCGGGGGGGATAGGGTAGAGAAAATAGTGCAACAATGAATGAATGGAAACCCAAAATCTCTGTAAATGTTCATTAAAATTAATAAAATTTAATAAAAAAAATTTAAAAAAGGATATATATATATGTATGTGTGTGTGTGTGGTGTGTGTGTGTATATATATATAAAACCCTCTATCTCTGTCAGGAAAGATCATGGGAACAAATGCCTTGCTCAGATCAACAAGAGAAGAAGAAGCAGAAGCAGGAAAACAAAATTTTTAGGAATAAATTTTTCAGAAAAAGTGCTGGTGTAATATGGAGCAAGCCACACAAAAGAAAGTATGAAGAAATGGAGAAAAATGGCTGTTTTTGGCTGGGAAGACAAAAAATTATTAACCTGATGGTCCTTCCCCAGTGGAAATTTGATTTTATGTCAATGGTAGGTCGCCTTGACTTGAAACCAAATAAGCCTAAAACTCATTTGAAAGAAGACATTTGTAGGGATAAGCTGGAGTTCTTTTAAAAAGAAAAGTAAGAGTATTTACCCTATATGATATTGTTGTTGTTATGTGCCATCAAGTGGCTTATAATTCGCAGTGACTGTATGCACAAAAGCTCTGAACCCTGCCCTATGCTGAGCCAGTCTCACTGTCTCTGATACACCTGCCCCCATTACCCCAGTTACTATGTCATCTCCTCCAGGGCCTTCCTCTCTTGCTCTGTCCCTCCATCCATCCAAGCATGATGTCCCTCTCTTAGGACTGGTCCCTTCTGACAACATGACCAAAGTATGTCAGCTGGAGCTTCAAAATCCTTGCCTCCACAGAGCAACTTGATTTCACTCTCTCCAGGGAAACCTCTTTGTTCTCTTGGCAATCACCTGGCAGTTCAGTCCTCTTCTTCAGCACCACAACTCAAAGACATCGACTCTTCTGCCATCCTTAGTCATTGTCCAGTTCTCAGATGTGTAGCAAGTGATTGCAAAGACCATGGCCTGGACCATGTGCACCTTAGTCTCTAGACTGCCATCATTGCTCTTTAGTACTCTGGAGAGGTCTCTGACAAGCAGATTTTTCCCAGTGCAACTTGTCTTTTGATTTCCTGACTTCTGGTGCCAAGATATATTAGAATGTTCAAGAACTAAAACAGTTTTGGTGCTGTTTCAGAATTAGCAAGGCCAAGCACATAAGATAACTAAGGATCCATAAAGATAGAAAAAGGCTGAAAAGGAATATATAAACATTCATTGACTCAAGATTTTGAACTTTCAGCAACTTAGGATGTAGAAACAGTTTTGTGTAACAAGACAGTCGCTGTGGAAAGTTGCTAATCATCTTTTAGAAACACATGTATGTTGTTGGTATTGTAACAACTCACAAAATAAAAAGCCCAGATTGTGACTCATAGTAATCATGACTCTACCAGATTTAGAGGGTGTACTCTTAATGGGAGACTGCATTCACCTAGGAATATTCACATAATGAATGTACTATGTTGTGGGGAGAGAGGAGGGAGGAAGGAAAAGTTACCAGTTTTAAAAGTAAAAAAAACCCCACCACCTTAAAATGGTAGTTACAGTATAAAAACCATAAAGAACTCTAATACAACTTCTTAAAAAGAAAGGAGTATCAGCTATTCTTTTCCTTCTGCTATACTCATACTTACAGCATTGGCATTGCATGCTGGGCTTTGAAGCAAAAGGTTGGCGGTTCAAATCCACCAGGTACTTTGTGGGAGAAGAGCATTTCTTCCCATAAATTTACAGCCTTGGACCCTCTCAGAGTCAGAAG